AACCGAAGATGTCCACCATTGATGTTCCTGATATTTTGTGTAGCGCGCGCGTCAGAGACAAATATTTAACCGAATAAACTGACGAATGATTTTAGCGTTGGTGTCCCCATTTAGAACCAGACTTTAATGCTTTGTCATCATTTGAGGAAGGTGTAAGGGAAGTATATGTCGTTATATTATAGGAGAATATGCACCGCTAACTACTGTACTTGGGAGTAGCGTTGCAACTTGGTGTGTACTGTATTTGCATCAGCCGTTGGTCATTAGCTAACATTCTTAAACTTTTTTCATGCCGCCTTTACAAGTTGTGACAATATCTTAATGCATTAGATTTATTTGGGTTGAAACTGAAAAAAAATCCTTTACAAGTTTATTACATATGGTACATTATATAGAGAGCTGTAAAGGCAACATATAATTATGGGATGAATGGGACTGGTTCATTTCACTTGCAATCCTGGCGGCAATAATTAGTGTGATCTGGCCAAGTGCATATCGAAGGTCACTCACTCGTCTTAAGTCAGGCGCGTGTATATTCACTAGTACCGTTAAATACTAACCTAAAACAACTATTCATTTAGCGTACACGTTTTACTTTGTGTTGTTTAGTTGTCCTTTTATATACCAATGTTTCTCACTGACCCACCCTAGTTTATGAACCACTGTACGGCCTAAAATGATTAGCTACTGTCACGACTCGCTAACTCGCATGTTGTTCCAAGTACAGTATTTCCTTAAGTAAAGCATCAGGCACACGACCCTATGAATTGCGTTTTCTCGGTGGTTAAACTAGGCGTCTGCATATGCTGATAACCACAAAGGAAAAAGAAAATACGAAATTCCCAAGCTCGAGAAGTACTGTATCGTATCTGGCGGTAGATGATGATTACGTTATCTATGTGGGTGGTGTGGTTATAATCAGCCATGTGGGAGAAAATTAAACCATTACCAGAGCTCACTGGTGACAGCACTGTAATGTTACTCGTCCGAGGGCTCAGTGCCGGCTTATTTACGTGTGGACATCATGTAGGTCTGATTTTATGTTCCAAATGACATATTAAGCCTCTTCTCATTATCTACGGGACGAGACAAAGCGGGAGATCCGAGCCAAGGAAATTCTGAGTAGATAAACTTACCATATTAAAGAGAGAATGTGGCAAGCCTTGCTCTCATTAAACACCAGGGGTAGTGTGTACTCAACCCTAGTGGACTACAATGACGATAACACACTACAAGAGACAGGAAATAGTTGCAGACATTACAGGAAGACTGGGACCTCTTCACTGGACTCTTATCTCATGCCAAGGTTGGCAGTGACTTGTAAGAATTTTTCCAGTTTGAAAACAAATCATTTCCTGCTTCTTAGTGACAACAGGAAGCTTCACGTCAGTCAGTAAACCCAAATAGTGAACTAAAGGCAAATAATCTCTATGGTGGTTCAGCCTTCGTGAATACTCAAGCTTCCACGAACAGCAAATACATGTTATAAAACAAAGCCCAAGTGCGGGCATGGGCGTGGGGCATTTAGTCAGCTGAAGGGTGATGACATGAGCAATAAAACGAAATAAACTTGACGCAACAACCTGCTAAATGACAAAACGAGATGCGAGATTTTCCACTGCCTTGCGTAAGACGAGCTCAGATGTGCAGTAACCGTAAGATTGTTTTAATTGTTTACACAAAAATGGGAGAGCAGTGAACATAAAAAGCGTGCGTTTGGGTATGACTTTGCTTGGGGGATTGGTATCCCCGCATCCCCTGAGCAACGCTCTTGTGCATTATGCAGAAGACCCGACAGCAGCACCCTTATCCACTACCTCCGAAGATGTCCCCACACACAACGCTTCCGTGACGCCTGCTGGACCACCACTCCACGACCCCCTGACGGAGACACGATGATCCTCCCCATACTGGCCAGATATTGTGTAAATAACATTGATTATGTGTTAAAGGAATATCCTTCCTTCCTTAGGCTTTAGTAAGCCCCCTTTATAATATTTATTCTGTATATACTTGTCACACTTGCCAGATGCTTCTGGTGTCATTGTACAGGGGTACCTAGTGACAGCACTAGGATCCCGCTTCCTCTATCAAGGAATAAACAATTGAAATTGAATTAAAAGCGTGCTCGGAAAGCTACCGGGTAATATCAATAGTAATTTAGAAGCAATTAGAATTTCCTGATATTCTTTCTCAGCTGCTTGATACATTTAAGACTAATGTTTTTGGTTCGTATCCCTAACACCGTGTCTCTGGCCGAACAGATATTATGAAGGCCAATGAATTCTCAATCATAACATTTGAGATAATGTATTTAAGAACATGTTATACCTGTATGTTGATAAGAAATATAATACTGTGATAATATAACATATAGGCTATAACACAACCTCTCGTTTATATCATACTGATTATGTGAGGCAGCTGACGCAGTTTACACAAAGTGGATCGATAGTTTAGTAGGACGTCGACGCTATCGCATAATAACGTATGAGGCTTGAGGAGCCCGCTATTTATACAGGGTGTCTCGAAAATATATATACAACACTACCCTAAAAATTTTCGTGGAGATCGCGTGAATGCTTGTACTGGGTTATAAGAGCAACATTGTCCTCACTTGTGGGAGATCTCGTACATCAACAAGTGAGGACAATGTTGGTGGTGCAAATATTTCGACTTCCACGGAAATCTGTAACGCAGTGTTTGTTTACATTTATTTGACACTATTATACTCCTGACTTTGACGTGACTAGTATGGCATAGCAATCGTCCTTCTGTTAACTTTACCTTGTTGGACCAGCTCTACCATCTTCTCACCAAAACATTATAGGTTACAACACCTTTGGGTGGATGTATCATACCAGAACGCTACATTTGTTCCATATTGTTTGTCCGGACTATTAAAGCTATTAATCTCTGTCGGTTATTTCCCGTCTCCTATCAGTCGTTCTGCGTGGGAAACCTTTTAACTCCCATCAGATCCCTAGCGAGAACAAGGAAGAACCGAACTGGTACGTGTACAGTGACGCCTTTCTTTGAGGGAAAACAAATAGAACGAACGAATACTTGTGAAACGAACGGAGACTATAGGGGTGGGGATGGTAAGACACATTCCCCTGAGCGGAGTTGTCTTGGTACAGGCATATCACCCATATTTATACACCATTTGTTCAAAGTTTTATGAAAGCTTTCTGAAAACCGACAGGCCGAATTGATTTGACAAACTTTGATTACAGATAGACCCGCATATTATAGCAGTGTGACAGCAGTAAATGTATGAACATGTTAGGTGTCTCACTTCACAAGGGTATTATTTTCGTGGACATATGTAGGGACCAGACATTTTCGTGTCTTTTGTTTGTAGTTCAGCTTTTGGTCCTTCTGTTTAAGACTTTTAGTAGTAATTTTTGCTTCACCTTGTTCGAAAATTTCACCAATCTTGGAAAGGGATGTTGAGAAAGAACAGTCCTGTATTGAGTACATCATTTCAGGACGGGTTGACTTGCGTATTACTAATAGGAAATTGTATCCTGTTCCTAATACTGGACTTGCAGTAAGTTTTATTGCCTAACTGATGAATGTTTCCTGGGAGTAATAGTTAGTGAGCATTAAGCCTAAATAGATAAGAAGTAAACGAGACGACATTAGGTACACATATGTATATGATCTCTGCGACATCACAGGTGTGTTATATAAAAGCCTTCTTGAAAGAACACCTGTCATCCATTCAGGGACCACCAGGCCATGTATTTACATAGTGTACGAAATGGCTGAAATTAGATGTTAAATTAATTATCACTGATAAATGTGGAGTTTCTTATACTTAATAGGACGGTAATTATTTTTGAATGGAGAGGGGTGTGTAGAGGGCGTTGTCAAGGTAGTACAGGTGTATCAATGGGGGTGGGTGGGTGGGTCATCGTCGTCGAGGTAGTACACACCACACACACACGCCTGCTGCCAAGTGGAAAGCCAGGTGTGATTATAGTTTCTGCAGGTGATGCTTAAGATTGAACTATAACATTTACGATTAGGCTGAAGCGTCATTTATGGTCTCGTGGTGGTGCTCCGTGGTGGTGATCCGTGACTCGGAACATGAAGTCAAAATCCAGAAAACTTTAATGAAAATCCCTAGTTTGTTTGTGACAAATCCCGAAGTCTTTGTTCATGAAGATCAAGGTCACACGCTGAGAGTCCATGAGTCGTTGTGATGCCCTTGTTGAGTCAGGGAAGCGAGTTGGTTGATGATTAATTAACTAAACGTTGCATGAATGTCAACAAATATGTGCCGTGAACAGCTAACCCCCGCAAGTTATATCATTGTGAGGATCTGAGTTACTATACACTGCTGTCTGAGGTTAAAAAAATAAAAGCTTGAAGGGATTTGAATTGTCAAAGCTTAACATTTACAATAACAGATGAGGTAATTTTTCATTGTCTCGTGTTAAGCTTGGCAGCACCCCTAAGAATCAGTCCTATCATCACCAAGCACTATAATGCCAGGAATTGTGGGTAAAACACGTACTGTATAATCATGTAATAAGTTGTTTGAAATATTTTCTCAAAATATATATATATATTAAGAGCTATAATGGTAGGTAATATTAGGCCTACAACTTCTAATAATATAATTTAATGTCGAGTAGATTTACAGGTACAATATATTGGATAAATAAAATTGTAAATTGAGGGATTGATTCAACACTGGTTCGCTAGACAAGGAGCTACGATGAAGTAACTTGTTCTGATTAGACGGATTCACAAGACCGTATAACCTGCTCTGCTGATGGGTGATCTGAGTGGCAGAATCTTAGCTATTAACTATTAATTTATGCAATAATGTAACCTGTATAACTTCTGTTTTTACCACGAATCACTTTTCGTCATAACCTCACCATTTCCCTTTTTAAGTAGTCATAATTATACTGTATGCAGGTATGTCCTTTTTACCGAGTGTTGTAATATTTTTTCCTTAATGCTAATGATTTTCCTCACATACTTGCATGTTTTGACAGGTATTGAAAGTGGTGAAGAAGAGAAAATATACATCAGTAACCGTCAACAATTGAGGACTTGACCACACCATCAAGTGAGCTGTGACAGTGTGCTTCAACAAGAGAAAGTCGAACAATCTGACACGAATGAGTGACTTTAAATATGGACATTTAGTAAACATGTTGTGTAAAGAAATTAATTAAAGAACCTGTGCCCTTTGGAAGTGTACTGGGAGAAAGTTGATATAGCTTCCCAGACTAGACGGACATATATTGTGAATTGGTGACCGTGTTTAATTTTTATGCGTGAAGCTCTATAAGTAAAATGGCTTCCTTAACATCACATGTCGATATTGAAGGTATGACATGCCAGTCATGTGTACAGAACATAGAAGGAGTTGTGAGTGGACTTCCTGGGGTACAGTCCATTAAAGTCGACCTGGCAGCAAAACAGGGAACAGTAGTACACTTCCCCCAAGGATACGGGGGAACAAATAGCTGAAAGGATCGATGATATGGGATTTGAAGCTAAACTTGCTGAGGGAAAAGAAGCACAAGTGAGAATTGACAGAAACCATTTGATTCTGGACAGTTCTATGGAAGGCACTCCAGGGACCTCAGACAGTAATATCAGAGTGGCCAATCTACTGGGAGAACCCATCAATTGTGCCCAGGAGACCAGCTGATTCAGATCTCCGTTAAAGGTGAGGCCATCTTTTTGTTAGTGGGGTTCTGTTGAGAGAGAGAGAGAGAGAGGAAGAGAGAGAGAGAGAGAGACTATGAATGGAAATCTTAAGAAAGAATATATAAATGGAGAGTTTGAGAAGAGAGAAATGTTTGAGTGTTGGAAATTAAGGGCATGCATGAACCACCCCCTGTACCTTTAAGTATGTGCCTAAGGAAGTGTGCGTTTAGGTGCCACTATAAAATTTAAGTGGAGTGAAATATGTACTGCATTTGTGTATCTGCATCAACTTTTAAACTGAAGTATATCTTAGTCCTCATCATCTTCACCGTAGACATTCACGTGATGGTGCTGAGTGTACTGTAGATATTCTTACCATTAAAACACAAAATACCTATATGGGCGAGGGAACGTTTTAAGGTAGTAGGTAGCTACCAAACAGGGAGGTACTACCGCCTGGGTAGATATTGGAAGCATAATGTGTTGTCTAATGGTAGGCCCTGCTGCCATATGGCATCACGAAAATTGTGACCAAGTCCCAGGTTGCTGACCTGACTTTCTGCCTCATTTACACACAATTGCAGGGTCTCTATTGTTTCTCTTGCTTCACAACATACATATAGCCCTCCCAGGCACCGATGTGGGTCAGTGACCTGTGCCCTGGTGGGCTAATCCCCGTAAAAAAAAAGTGTAGGAGCATGCGGGGAGCCAAGATCGGTTGTTGACCTTGAGAAACCTCGTAAGTCTACACACTTACAGTATATAACGCCGTACTGAAGCCGTACCTCGTTTTGGTCCAGTATTGTATGAAATGGCCAAACGCATAAATTATAGGAAAATTATGTCTATAGATATTTTAGATATTTATTAATACCGATTAGTATTAGTAGAATTTCAACTTAACGCCGGTTTGAACCCAGAGGGTCCTCATTAAGTGAACTGCTAAGTGAACAACAGAACATATGATTAACCACTAGAAACCGCCCGACCCCCCAACTCCACTTTTTGAAGGCACATACCTATGTTGTAGAAAATAACATCTTAATTTTATGATGGTACATGCACACAATTAATACTTAAGAGAAATAGAGAAATACAGTGCCAAGTTAATGTCCATTCAAATAATGGACTCAACTCCTCCCCTCTCACATACACTGCTGGCTCTTTCCTCTCAGAGAAATTTTGGGGAAACCACTAAATTTTAATAAATAATACCTCAAACTAAAGTTAGGATAATACATTGACATTGCTGGATTCCTTGTAAGACCAGAATATTTTGAATATAAATGTCATATATTTTGCACAAAAAGATAACATAGTTAATTTGAGAAAATTTTTATCTAAAATTTGTATGTTTACTATATGATGTTTATATTCAAAATGATCACCAAATTATAAGAATTCCAGCAATGTAAATTATATTCTGGCGGGTAATTTGTATGAATTTTATGAGCTAAAACAGGCAGTCAGGCAGGTGGCGGTGGGCAATCTAAAATAGCTGTCTACACTCACACAGATATGGAAAAAATCCGTGTTATGAAAGTCTGGCGAGGCAACACAGATATGATAAAAACGCTGTATGAAACCACGCGTTAGGCGGGGTAATACTGTGCATTAAAAATAATTTAATTGCACCAAATAAACACCTCTAAAAGTGGGGTGTGGCCAACCTAATGTCGTTATAATATATCCATCATCAAAGAAAGTACGGAGGTATTTCAAAACATTATAGACCTTGCAGGAACACGGGCAAATGATCATCAGTCTCTTTAAAAACTACAGCTCTAAATATCATTATTCCCCGCGCGGTTCTCGGAATCCCGTGACGCGGAGCTGTAACAAGCTCTATTGATGGATTTATGGACGTCAATTTGAGTTACCGGGCTCCTCTCCACCTTTGAGATGGTTTGGTAATCAGGCAATCTCTTCCATCAATAACCTTATTTACAACCAAACATCTACATGGCACCAACCACTTCAAACAACCACCTGCGCCACCAACTTTACTGTCTTTGCTAATTCCCATTTACACCACCACCTACCATTTGTACTATCCATCTACCCTACCACCACCTACCATATCCATCTGTTTGTACTACCACCTTTCCGTACCATTAACTATTTACACCACCATTTGCATTACCTTTACGTAAACATCAACCATTGCATCACCTTTACCACCAACCATCTACACCACCAACCTTTAACACCACCAACCTTTAGCACCACCAAACATTAACACCACCAACAACTAACAATTTCCCAACCAAACGTTTGCACCACCAGCACCTTCAACGATCTCTTCCACTAACCATGTTATTACCAAGCTACCAGCCATCTAAACCAATATTTGCACCACCACCACCACCACCAATGTACACTACCAACTATCTGCTTCAACAATTTGCTCCATCGACATTGTAGGCCAACCATAACTAGTACAAATGGCTGATGGTGGTGGTGCAAACGGTTAAGAGGTTGTGTTGGTGGTACAGATATCATTAATTGATATTCAGTCAATTTGACCAAGGCCAGCTGACAAAGCCATGAAAGACATGTTTCCAGTACTGTATAGTCGTAATAGGCAGCATCTGATGTTCTTAGGGCCAGGCGGTCACCCATCCAAGTACTGTACTGAAATAGCCAGACCCAACTTTGCATAACTTTGCTGATCGGACAAGAAGCGGTGTGGTCGATGGAATTTCTGGTGCAATTGTTTGATGGGGGCAAATGTCTATTGTTGTTGGTGGGACGGATGTGGTTGGGGATGGTGAAAATGTTTGGTGGTGAAAAATGGGTGATGGTGTAAAAGATTGGTGTTGGTGAAAATGGGTGGTGTTGGTGGGGCAGATGGTTGATGTGCAATAACTACAGTATTAAAATTGAATCTCTCTCTCTCTCTTCAATATTGTGTATTATAGACTCATTCAAGAAAGGTTTCATAATGATACAGTACGGGTTTATATATAATAAGAGCAATTTTCTTGAATGAGTCTGTAGTACTTGCAAGGAATGAATCTATGAATTACCGGTATCACTCGTATAATACAGTACAGTACAGTGTAGTCTGCATTTATGCGGTCAATTGACACCCGTGGAGGTCCGCGCAAAACGAGAAACGCGTAAACAAAATAACCGAACATATAGGATTAATTGAAATAGAGACTGGGCCGACTCCCAAACTCCACTTTTTCCGACACAATACGTACCTTGTAGTAAAAATAACAACATAATTTTATGGTGGTATTGCTACACACATAATATCTAAATAAAACTAAATCCAAAGGTGTTTAACACTTGCGTTAGTAGAAGCGATGTTTCGGCACACGTGGATGGTGGCTGGTTCCGAGGCAGAGGGCAGATTAGTTGCCCTCCAGTGAATCACTTTCACTAATCGCAGAGGTTTGCAGGGCCTCCCAGACAAACCCCTCAAAGTCCATATCCTCACTGTCACTATCACTGACTTGGCTGGCTGTGGTTGTGGTGGTGGTGGTGGGTTGCGGGCAAAGAAGTCCTTAATACTACGTTGACGACTAGCATTGATGTTGTCGAGATAGATCTGGATATCCGGCTCAATAACTTTCGACAGATGGTTATTAGACACTTCATAGCAATGTTTGTCTGGGTCGTTGACAAGGATGAGCTTAATTTTCTCCCCCAACTCGACGACTTCCTTCACATAACCATGGCTTGGTCCAGGTAATTCAAGGTTTTTCTCGGCTGGTGGGGGTCCAGCGGAAGCCATTGTGAGGGGAATAGCAGGCACAAGAGAGAACTGTATACGTGGACTGAGAACATTGAGACTGGCCCGGCTAGGTCAGCGGCTTCTGGTGGCAGGGTACGTCATGTTACATTAGACCAATCACAGCAAGCAGCGGAGGGAATGCGTGGGTGGTAAGGATGCATGGCCCAATCACAGTCTGATACTTCATATGACGTCAGTGATAACATAAGAGCTACCTAATGCGTGCCCCTCACCACGCCACTTCCCGCGTATGGTCAAGATTGGACCATGTGAATAAAAAATGGCGCGGCGCGTATCAACCTCTCCAGCCGCTCGCCGCAGAAATGATGAAATTTAACGCGTAATTAAAACATTTCATTCTGGCACCCGTAAATCCAGACTATACTGTAATCAGATTTAGGGGGTGGAATAACTGAAAGGCCAGCTGCCTTTGACTTTATTTATTGAACACATCTTAATACCTGTAATAACATTGATACAAGAAATTTCATAAAAACCCATTCCTATGTATAAACAGGGAGATGAATAATTTAACTATATACTGTATGTACCCTATACTGTATATGATTTTATATTAACTTGATACTGTAATGTACACTCGCAACAAAAAGTATCGGTGCATACTGTACTGTGAACAATTTGAGACCAGTGACGATAGGTTTTGGGAAAGGTGAGTTGTTCCAGCCGTATGTTGGCAGCCCTGTAATCCTCCTGAGCTACAATGGCCTGGTCAAGTGAAACAAACCGTTATAAATAAGGTCGGGAAGTGATAGACAGTATGAAATATGAGGAGCTCCCTGTTAACAAAATTATTTGTGATACTTGTGATTATTACCACATTAATTTATGCTACCAAATAAACTATTCAACCTGGTCGTTCTGAGGGGTGGTGCAGCGTGGACGGCCGCTCCGAGACCTGTCGTCTGTAGCACCAGTTTCGAGGTATCGCCGAACCCATCGTGCAGCGGTGTTCCTGTGGACACCAACCCGCCGGCTACTATCTCTGACGCCGAACCCTTCGTTATGAAGGGCAATAATAGCTTCTCGTGTTCCCTCTGAGGTTTCCTTGTCGTCTGGCATGTGTACATCTCTACTGCTTCATATTGCCTCTGACTTATACCCACGTTCACCGACACCGAACCCTTGCTCATCATTCAGTCGACACAAAACAACAATCCGAAAAGAGGAAACAAACACACTGATTGTCAGCCATATGGCAACACCTAGTGGAGGGAGGGGGGGTGTTATGAGGATACACTTACCAACCTTCCCGACATATCACAGTGTATACGTGACGTTTCGGAAGTCGTTGATCTCACCCTGCACCGATACATTTTGGTGCGAGTGTACATTGGGCAATATTATACTTAAAGTAATCCCAGTGAAATGCATACAGGACAGAGATGAGCTTTGAGGTGAAGTGATTATTTATCTCCCTGCTCACTGTTTATTTTGATTCATTAAAAGAGTCATAAAATAATACTTTTAAGTGCAATTTGTGATTGTGTCATATTATAAAACACACCTGTGAATTATTCTTTATGGTAGTTTTCACATACTTCTTAACTTTGTTGATCCATAGGCATGACATGTAATTCTTGTGTGAAGAATATTGAGGGTCACATCGGAAAGCTGGAAGGTGTACGTTCCATAAAAGTTTCTTTGGAGGAGGAAGTTGCCACGCTTATCATAGACCCCACCTTCATATCTCCAGAAACTGCAAGGTAAAAATTTTGATCATGGGTTGCAAAATGAGTTTGTTATTACAGTATTATGACTGAGTTAGGTATGTTTTACTCCAGGAGTGAGATATTGTAGATGAAATAACTCCTCTTATTGTGTTGCATTCAATTAAGGAATACAGTACGTACATGTACAGGGGAATTTTTGAAAAATATATCGTGGATTATATTATTTTTTAATTGAACGTAATGTTTTGAACCATAAATACATAATTTTTCTTGTTCGTCAATATAACTACTGTATTGTTATTACTGTATTGCAGATTGGCCATAGATGACATGGGGTTTGAAGCTTCACTTATTGAGAGTGATATAGCACTTGTGACATTGGGCATTGAAGGCATGACATGCATGTCATGTGTGCAAAGTGAACATAGAATCAACAGTTGGAGCAAAACCTGGTGTATTATCAGTAAAGGTACAGTACATACTGTACATGGCTGCTGCAGAATGTAATATTTAAGGGTGTTGATGGAGGAGGTAATGTTAGTAATATTTTGGGGGGTACTGGAATGTAAATAAGGAGAGATAAATGGCCATGTAAATGGAAACTATCCAAGTATTAAACTACTGGAGTGCAGGTGTAGTCTTGTTGTTAGTCCAGCCTCTTTATACGGAAAAAACACAAACTAAACTCTGGCTTGATAATTTGTGCCAGATTTTTTAAAATATCCACCAAATCCAGTTAATAAAATTCTCTATCCAGTGCATCCTTAATTCATATCATAACCAAGGGTCATTGGTGGGTGGGGGGGATAACAGTGTAGCTACCTGGGGATGCTGTGGTTAACATTCATTCTGTTGATAAGAACAGTATCTGCTAACATTGCGTATCAAGAGATGTGACTGACCGCCCAAGCGGCTAAAGAGCCAGTCGGTAGCGAAGAGGATGAGAGAGAGAGTAAATATGAGACTGTCTTGTGATATTGATTTCGAATATGGTTAAAAAAAAAAAAAAAAAACGATGTAAGAGGCTTATTTCTAATCTCAAGAGTGCAGTTGACACAGGTGGTGAAAGACAGCTGAACTTTTTGAGACCTGTTGTTATTGTATTGTGGTTATCAATGGTTGTAATTATATAAACATTGAGTATACAAATAATTTTTCTATCACACAGGTGAATTTAGAGGAGAAAAAGGGAACCATATCATACAATCCCAGAACAACAAATCCTCAGCAGTTACAGGAACACATAGAAGATATGGGCTTTGAGGCAACATCTCAGGACATGTCATGTCTGAATGTTCAAAACAGGCAGATGTGTGTGTTATATCTATACAGGGAATGACGTGTAACTCCTGTGTACGAAATATTGAAGGCACTATAGGAGGAAAGACTGGTATTAAAAGTGTAAAGGTAAGATTTTTGTATTGTATGTTTGCCTCGCTTGCCATTTTGAATATTTTAGATCTTCTATATTTGATGATTAATAATTATAACCAGATTCACTACACAGGATTTGACGTGCAATCTTATATTCCACATTCTCGACAGGTTAATTTAGAAAAAGCAGAAGGAACATTTAACTTCAACCCTGATGTTGTGAGTGCCGATCTGATAGCAGGAATGATTGATGATATGGGTTTTGAGGCCTCGGTAAAGACTGCAAACTCCATGAACAAACAGCCCATACTTAATGGTAATGGTAAGTTGAGCTGCTACTCACTTAGTCTACAAACAAAAGTCTTCCAATTAACAGTGTACAGAGTATTTCCTGATGACCACTGTCACCATTTTTATTACTAGCAATTTTCCACTTGTGTGTGGATTAGCTGTGTTTATTTGATAACAGCTCTCCAAGCTACCCAGTTTGTTGGTCTCTTCCATCAGGTTATTATATCTGAGGTCATTTTTTACAACCTATCTGTGTCATTCTTGGCTCTTCTCCCCTCCTCATTAAAGCTCGTGCATATCTTGATCAATCTGGTTTCCTCCTTTCTCACCACATGCCCGAACCACCTAGGCCTATCTCTGCACTAAACTTCACTATCTTTTAACATCACTTTATTCTCATGCCAGCAGCATTCATCTTTTCTCTCACACAAAGAGAGTTCCTTGCACTGTCAATAAAAGTAACAGTGCCATAAACTATTTCCAGTTTCCCAGCCTTAAACCCAAGTTGCATTTTATTAATGTCTACTCTCATTTATCAATTTCTCAATTATGAAATGTTTCATAGCTTTTCATTCTTGTTTGTGTATGTGTATTTAACAGTGAAATCATCAAGCATATCTCGAGAGGAAAGTGTCAGCAGTTCGTGGCAGGAAAATGTTGCCTTTGAAGGAGATGAAACGGACTTGGAAAAGTGTTTTCTCCGAATCACTGGCATGACTTGTGCCTCCTGTGTGGCAGCTATTGAGAAGCATGCCAAGAAGGTACAAGGTATGATCTTCAAATTATGTCTTCATTTGTTGCTGTATATATATTTATTATACTGTAGTCGAGGTACCCAGCTTTACCAGGATTGAAGGATAGGAAATACCATAGTACATGACCATCCCCAATGCCAGCTGCACCTTCCTCCCAAATTTCAGCTCGATACTTTATCTTCAAAACTGTGGTAGAGTGTAGTACTGGCCATGCTGCTTCCTTGTGTATGAAGGCTTAGTTTACAGTGTGCTGTATCCACACTGTCTTTATTTGGCAGTCATCCTGTGGGACCCACTTTTGTAGCCATAAAACTCTGCTGCCCTCCCTGAAATTTAATTTTAAAGATAGTGTATAGTGTATTATTGGGATAGTGAGTGGGAGGACTTGGCTTCAGAGTGATGAATGCTGGTTAGATAGACTCCACTCCAGGGGGCCTGCTGCCTTTTGGGGTAAGCTTCACACCTGATTTCATCTAGTTTAGAGTTGATGGGCGAGACAGGTGGGCTAGTCAATGAACTGTGTAAAATAGATTAAACAATGAGTTGCCATATGAAGGCTTAGTTAACTCCCTTGACAACCCAAACAAGGCAGGCACTAACAACAGAGCTGCCTGGTAACAGGCAGTATCAAGGGGGGGTTCCCTAGTTACAGACTGGTTTTGTTCCCGAGGACATTCTTAAGTTGGATTTGTACGGAAGTCGGAACATATGCTGTATGCATACTGCACTTGCAGAACAATGTTTAAAATCCCACTATATCATAGCCTAAGTCCTTGTATACATCGAAAATCACTTAATTTAAGAGAAAAGAAGAAATAGAATGACAAAATACAGTAAATGAAATTAAAAAAAAATAATGTCCTCGGGTAAATAAAATACTGTAAATTTAAATTTTAACCCTGTTTATATCAGTGGGCGTTCGTAAGTCGGGGTCCCCTTGTACTTGAAAACCGAACTTCAGAATGAATCCTTTATTTATTAGCAAGACCAACATGAAACCATGGATAGGTATGGAGTATTTAGCAAAATTATTCATGAAGCAAATGATTGTAAATTGTAATGTGTATTTAAAGTCATTATCCAGCAGAATTTTTAAGTTGTTGAGTAGTCTTATTGCAACAGCTAAAATTAAAAATGCATTTTCAGGAGTCCACAGTATTCTTGTAGCACTTATGGCAGCTAAGGCAGAAGTACGCTATGATGCAACCCTTGTGATGCCACAGCAAATAGCATCCAGCATCACTGACCTGGGATTTCCTACCACTGTGCTGGAAGAGGCAGGGTCAGGCCAAGGGGAAGTGGATGTGGAGGTATACAGTATGGAGTGCTCCCTGTATATTGATATTTGTTTTCTTTGGTTTTTCTCTATGCCTTCTACACTAGGAGGAAGGTTATGGTACCTCCTTCACACACCACAAATACTGCATATTCCTCCAGATACCTTGGCTGTTATCTTGTTTGTGTACATCATTGTTTAATCCAACACAGTCAATTCTAACTGTGCCTGGATCTATTGCTCTGGTAGAGTGTATATTTATTTATGAGGAGATAATAATGAGGCCCCATAGATGAGTAAATGTATCGAGAACATTGATGTTTAACTTTAAACATTAAGCCCCAGGTTAGGATGCTGCTGGCAGTACCCCCTCCCCCCTGTGGGGTTAAATCTAGAAAAAAAAAAGCTTTTCCAAAAATTATTAAAAAAAAAAATGGCGGGAAAATGGGCGGACGTTCTGGAACGTCACCCGGGGCGCGCTAGTCCGATTTTCTGGAACGTCACCCAGGGCCTAAGGGTTAATGAACACACACCATTATATTTTCCATTGTCTCGCTTGCTTCTTCATCTTTGTTGTTTTTATTTACTTTTCATCATACAGTATATACATGTACTTCTTAAGTACAGTAGGCTACAAAATTGAAGAATATTCATGAGAAATAGTTGACACAGTTTACATTGGGTTGTAAATATTAGTACTGTAATATTGTTGAACAGTTGTTTAATTATTTGTTTCATATCCCTAGATATTGGGTATGACTTGTTCATCTTGTGTTTATGCCATTGAGTCAAATGTCAGAAAGTTGAAAGGTGTGAAGTCAGCAGTGGTGGCCCTAGCAACTGAACGTGGCAAGTTTCATTTTGACCCAGCTGTCACAGGCCCTCGGGATATAATTGATTGCATTCATGTAAGTACTCCTATATTTCTGCAAAAAATTTGTGCACATGTGTGTGTATATAATGGACTTTAAGGATGATTTTGAGGTAGATAAATGTACTTTATAATAAACCCTGCATATTAATGAAATATATTTATTTGCACTTGTTAATATGTGAATGTTTTAATGTCGGTGGAAAAATATGTATAGCACGTGTTGTCTTCTTGCAGAGTCTTGGCTTCAATGCAACACTGTATACAAGTGGTGTAAATAAAGGCAACTACCTAGACCATAGAAAAGAGATTCGTAAATGGAGAAATTCGTTCGTTGTCTCTCTTATCTTCGGTAAGTTATGTTTTCCCCTGGAAGAAATTGGTATTGTGTAACTGTAAACTGTAGTATTTAAACACAACAGATTAATAGTTAATACGCACATCTGTCAGAATATATTTAGTGACGAATGCTGAAGCAGTTTGAGAAAAATTGGAGGATGTTAGGAATTACATATATTTAGTAAGACAGTAGGATTGTCTAGTGTATAATGACTGTGTTAAACCCAACAGATTTATAGATTTCAATGGAATTTTATCATCCTGGTTAGAAGTGGTGTACAGTATATGAATGGATGTTGAGCATGTGTCAAGATGGTTCTGCTCTGTTATTTTTAGGTGGGGGCTGAGTAATGGCTCTTTGCTGTCTAGTAATATACCTTGGTTTACAGGTGTACCAGCCATGTTGGTGATGGTGTACTTCATGGCTATGATGGAGCACATGACGCATGAAGAGATGTGCTGTGTATTGCCAGGCCTGTCCCTTGAGAACCTTCTGCTCTTCCTTCTTGCTACTCCAGTTCAGGTAAGCTTTTGATCTAGTAATCCATGTCAGTGCCATTTCTCAAAATCACTTCCCTTTTTGTTAAGTACATTATCTGTTTAAAAGTTAGGGTACATAGTCTTTTCTGCAATGTAGCCAATTTTCACAGCCTATAGGTCATCAATGACCTTTGAGATTCCATGAAATAGAACAACCCCTATCAGAACTTGCTTCGTCTTTTGAGGCTCGTACATTTAAAATTTGTTTGCTATATGACCTTATGGATTGGTATAATTACTGCAAAGCAAATCTTCACCCTCCAAAGGTGGTTTGAATCTGTGCTTTGAATTCCTAGCCCAAAGATTGCTTTGAAAGCTGAAATGTCTCGCAGGTGTCCCTTTCACCCACTCCTACAGAGCCTGGTATATATGAACATGCAGTTCCATCCCTGCCTCAGTATAAAGCAGGTGTCTGGATGAAATTATAGCCTTATTTTAAAATTCTTAACGTTTTGATCTCGCTGCTAAATAGCAAGCCCCTGCTTTATCATGGTACACTAAAATACATAATTTGAATTTATGGACTTCTGCAAATACTGTACAGGACAAAGGATGATCTAATAGAAGTTATAACCACAGCAGAGGACATACCCAGATAAAGTGTTAATGCCTAGAGGTAGCAGGTGGCTGCTCCACTAGGGGTCACAGCCTCAAGTTAAGGAAGCAACAAGTACAGAAAACTGTCCGTTAACTTCTTTGGGGTAAAAGTTGTGAACTCTTGGAATAACTTGCCAGTGAACGTTGTGATGGCATGGAGTGCGAGCTCATTTAAGAACAAACTTGACCAACACTGACACATGTTATGGTATATTCAAGAGCTCTTACATGCCCAGTACAGTACTTGCCAACAGTGCATAACAGTGAAATGACCAAGCACCCAAGCTGCTAGTAAGCTGACCAGGGATGAAGAGGATAAATGTGAAGTAATTAAAGTACTGTGTGAGAATAAATGGCTAATAAGAAAATTCTAAAAGTAATGGGAGAAAAGTGCATAAGATACATGCTACATCCATGCGTGGATGCCATCATACAGTATATCATCATCAATTGAGGCAAGTTTCATGGCTATATGCTCTTCCCAATCGACTATTGCAGAGTGGGAACTGTGCGTTATAAGTCGGACTTTCAAGCTTCCTTTTGGCAGTTGTGCTTCAGTTCAATTTAAGTTTTGTGTGTGTGTGTTTATGTATATTTAACCATTGTAATCTGTTGACTTGAAAGAAGTTACGCAGAAGAAAGAAACATTGTGATGCACCAAAATTATAAAATCGTATATTTTTTCCAGTTCATTGGAGGGCGGCACTTCTATATACAAGCCTTCAAGGCTCTGCGACACAAAACTGCCAATATGGATGTACTTATCATGTTGGCAACAACTATTTCATATGTGTACTCCTTGGGTGTGGTAATTGCAGCCATGGCTCTACAGCAAATGGCAAGCCCAATGACATTCTTTGACACTCCTCCGATGTTGTTGGTATTTGTTTCTCTTGGACGTTGGCTGGAACACATTGCTAAGGTAAGGAAATTTACGTATTTCCAGCTTGTGTGTAAAGTATATATTCTATATACAGGGTAATTAGTAATTTGTGACCACTCCAAGCAAAACATTCTTAATCGTGACAACAAAACATTGACAGCTAGTATTTTTTGTTACATACACTCTTAGTGCAATCTTGTTTTACTCTATTAAGTTGTCTGCTTTTGTCCATCAACAGGGTAAAACTTCTGAGGCTCTAGCAAAGTTGATGTCTTTGCAAGCAACAGAAGCAATGCTAGTGACACTTGATGAGAACAAAGAGGCTATAGCTGAAAAGATCATTGATGTTCACCTGATTCAGAGAGGAGATATGCTGAAGGTAATATCATAAATTTGGTTAAATGTGGGTCGGATTGTAGCCTTGTGACTACAGTATTTTACAATTTACCCGTAAAAGAACTAGGTAGGTACTTTTTTCTTTCTTTTTTTTCAAAAGGAAATTAGAAGTTATATAATTACAGTAGGTGTAGAGGAAGAATAATTCTTTTTAGTAATAACTACAATTAGAAGGTAAAAATAAGTTGCAAAGAGACTGTCACAAAATTTAGCCTTTTACCATTAATCTGTTGACCAGTCCTCATAATGTTTGTTCACTGTCTAATAAGAGCTGTATCATCTGCTTACCATAACCATGCACTTGGTAGGATTAGCTGCACCTCAGTAGGTAATATTGTAAAACACATTGTATAGTTTAAATGAATTTTAATAGGGGTGATATGATGAATGGTTAATTGAATATGGGATAATAAAATCTGGCACCCTGTGAGGTGCATTTCCTGTCAGGTGACCACTTATAACTCCAAATAACACGTGAAATAATTCTTTAGTTTTCTCCAGTGTTTTGAGGCCACCAGGTTTTAATTACAATGTATTATTTGCAAGGTTTGTAATTTATGTATCGAAGATTTTTTACATAAATAATACATTAAGTTTTAAGGAGTTTTTTTTTATTTTTGGTGAAGGCCTTAGCTCAGACATATTTTACAATAAAAAAGTATGAAAGAATAGTAAAAGGCGCAATTTCGTCTTCAGGTAAAACCAGGAGAAAAGGTGCCAGTGGATGGACGTGTTATTTCTGGTCAAAGCATGGCAGACGAGTCGCTCATCACCGGGGAGTCGATGCCTGTTGCCAAGAAACCTGGCTCGCATGTCATTGGTGGATCCATCAACCAAAATGGTCTTCTTCTGATGAAGGCAACACACATTGGTAGTGATACAACACTCTCTCAGGTTGGTTGTAGTAAAGGAACGTATAGCAAGTAATCTTCCTGTTAACTTGCATTAAAGAGATGCATTGTACAGTACAGTATTGATTTTTTCTCGGTATGCTGCTGTCTGTATTTAGTTATATTGAGGAGGCTTTTGCATGAAATTGCAAATGCATGTGCATCATTTTTGGCTATCTATTCTGTGTTTGGGTAAGTGCATTGTACCAGTTATAGAATAGGAATGATGGGGGTTCATATAGGCTGTGTGGGGTACTACCAGCAGTAGCTAAACCTTTGTAGTGATAACATTAGGCTGTTTACTTATTTAATTCAATTAATGCTAATACCTGTAGTCACTTTGTAACATCTATTTGTATAATATGAACTTCTCCTATTGGCTCTGAGAGAAATATGAATCCCATCCTTTTGTAGAATATAAACCTGGATTATGTGCTGGCCCTGGTCTACCAAGGTCTTACATGATACAAGATGTTGGCACCCCAGGACAAAGGGCTCACCAGGAGCCCTTCTTGAAGGTGCCAAGTTAGCTCTTAAAGGTCTCTAATATGGATGTGGTTTTCAATGGAAATATTGCATTTTGAATAGAATTAGGGTTGTTTGCAGATGCAGTTCATGAGCTAGCCCTTCCCATTAAATGGGGATCTCTCTATATGTCTCTCTCTCAACAAAGTGTTTATATATCGGAACCTGTAATGTACACGGGAAAATAAACGCAAACCATTTTCACCCCCGTATATTTAACCCAGGGCACCACGGTTGGTATTCGGTGAATAATCTGCCTAACTATCAATTGTGGTGGCCCAGGTTAGAAACCCGGCTCCTAAAAGTAATATTTTTTTATAAATAGTGTCCACTATCAGTTACCTCCAAACCAATAGTGGGGAAAACTACTCCTGGGGTGAATGTACTTCTCTGTTTGTGAGTTAAGCATATGTGGTGTTTGTGTCTGTCTTGAGCTTTGGATATGGTTATCTTGTTTGCTAAATATATATCTTGGAGGGAGGGTTCACAGCTGGGGTCATGAGATGTAGTGCTCTCTCTCTGCTGTCCAAAATATAACCCGAGGTTTCTCGAGAATTTCTTGGGCCAAGGAGAAGATATCAAAGACCTCCAGATGGTAGGTATCAAATAAACGAAGCAATTTGATTTTAAGATTTTGGCACCAAATTTAATAACCAATTATGTTCACCCGAGATATCTCTAGGAGAATCTCATGAGTTGGCCCGAATTTTAGGGGTTACTGTATAACTCCAGTGATAGGAATGTTAGAAGGCCAAGAGCTGAGCACTAGTCTGAAAATGGATAAATTGTTAAATGTGAGACAATAGGACACAGAGGTAGTTTAATCACTGTTTGCATCATGGTGTAGGATTGTGAGGAGGTGTAAAGTGATGTTTAGGTGAGGTCAGTCCATGAAAATTGCTCTGGTGAGATTTTAGGGCACTATGAAGTGTGCAGATATGCTCTGAAGACTTAGAGTTGTGGAAATGCATGGTGGTGTGGTGGCTGGTGGTAGAATACTAATAATTAAACAAAATATCTTAATGGTTCTCTAACGTGATGGCCAGAGAGAACAACGGTGTTAACAAATGTCATCCTTTTAACTTGATTATCCTTCATCTCCATTACACTTCAAGCCTACTATTGGTTCATAGAATCTGGCAATCTGGAACCAAATGGTGGAGCAGTGCAACGTGTAACCACTTTTTCAATATCCCATCTTGTTTGCCTGAACAGTGTAACCTTCCATTATTATATGTCCTCTCTAAAGGCCACAGAGCGGGTGTTTAGTGGTAGTGTTCTTGCAGGTCAGTTGCAGCAGCCCACTGGTTATAGATGTGGGTTTTTATCCTTCTAGTTGTTAGTTTTAGTGTGATTACATGACAAATCATTCTTCAGTGCAGGTGCCAAACCATGAATTCATAAACAGTTGTTTAGCTTGGCTGTTGCCTGCTGATTGTTTATACTTGTGGTAATGCTGTGTGACTGAAAGGTTTTGTGGAGCTTCAGCATGTGCCAGTTTATCATCGGTGCCAAAAAAAGAAGAAAAATTGCAAATTTTAATTTGGGAACAAAGAGCTATATGTTGGTTACTCTCCTCCATTGTGTGACCACAGTAATGAAAAGTGCAGTTGTTTAATTCTTTGGAATTTTAAAATAAAGAAATCCAATTTTCTTATGTTTTAATCACTTTAGTTTTTTATTAACATGATGATTTTTACTAATTTATTTAATAACCCATGCTCCAGTGATTGGTAGGATGTTACTAAAGTGTGCCACAGTTTCAGCGCTATAAATGTTACTGTAGTTTTCTTCTCGGGTAGAGGAAATAATGGGATTACAAATGTTAATTTATATATTTTTCTTAGATTGTCAAGTTGGTTGAAGAAGCACAAACATCAAAGGCCCCCATCCAACAGCTTGCAGACAAGATTGCTGGCTACTTTGTGCCAATGGTCGTCACAGTGTCCACTCTGACACTCGTCTGCTGGGTTATTGTTGGTTATATTGACATTAACCTTGTTGATGCAGATTATCAAACAAAGGTATGTTATAGTGCCCTATTTCCTGTGGTGTGGAGAGGAGCAGGTAGGGTTGATGGTCGGTAATGGAGAATTAGTCACAAGTTCCATTTTCTGTAGTAAGATACAATTGTCATGACCCATTGACCTTTCTGTTTTTAGTGGTTATACCTGTATCATTCAGGATGTGGCTGAAAAGTCGACTAGATCACTAGCAACAGTTGCCATGCTTATGGGCATGACGATAGATAGTGTTTTCTTGTGAACTAGTGAGCCATGTAGTAGCAAGTCATCTGCTCGCTCATAAAAGGAGATGTCAGGATGAATCCCCCCATTTATCTAAATTTGGAACAATAATTTTTTAATTAATACTTATTTAATTTTATTTAACAGCTAGATGAAGGGTTCACTAAAACTGAAATAGTACTGGAGTTTGCTTTTCGGTGCGCCATCACAGTTCTTGCGATCGCATGCCCTTGTGCCCTAGGGCTGGCTACCCCAACAGCAGTGATGGTTGGCACTGGGGTTGGTGCTACTAATGGCATTCTCATCAAGGGAGCTGAACCCCTAGAAAATGCTCACAAGGTAGGTAAATTTCAAAATAATTGACAGCTACTGATCATTCCCAGTTTAAATGGTTAACTCTGCCTTTTTCTAGTAATCTTTTAACCAGTGGTTAACAGATTTATACAGTACAGTGATACCTCGCTTTACGCGGTCAATTGAACCCACGGAGGCCCGCGTAAAGTGAACAACAGAACATAGGGGATTAATTGAAATAGAGACTGGGCCGACCCCAAACTCCACTTATTCCAGACACAATACGTACGTTATAGTAAAAATAACATCTGAACTTTATGATGGTATGCACACACACATAATATAGAAGAGAAATATCAATAAGAGAATAATATACTGTAGGTTAGGCTAGATAAAATCGAGGTTAGGCTTAACACTTACGTTAGAAGAGATGGGTCGGCGTACGAGAATGGAGGCTGGTTCCGAGGCAGAGGGCAGGCTACTGGCCCTCAGGTGAGTCACCATCACTGTCATCCACACTTATCAGGGCCTCCCTGACAAATCCCTCAAAGTCACCATCACTGTCTCTGTCACTATCACTGGCTTGGGCTGGCTTTGGTGGGTTGCGGGCGAAGAACTCGGTAATGCTTTGTTGATGGCTAGTGTTGATGTTGTCGTGATACACCTTGATGTAGGGCTCCATAATCTGCATCAGTTGGGTAGTGAAGACTTCATACCGGTTATCGTCAGGGTCATCGGGAAGGAGGAGCTTCAGTTTCTCTACACACTCGATGGCACCCCTTACATTACCATGCGATAACTTGCGTTCTTCTTGGGATGACGCACCACCTGCCTCTTCACTGACGTCATCATCTTCTAACATCTCGTCGGCAGTCACATCAGGATCCCTTATCACCTCCATAATGTCGTCGTTGGTGGTCTCGGAGAAGCCTTTAGCTGTAACACTCTGCGCAGCTTCTCTGGCAAGGTCTACTGCAGCAGTCTGAACCTCACCAGTCACAGATTGACTCTGCCTCCCACCTGGGATACCTTGCAACACATGTCTCCATGCGTGACAAACCGTTGCTACAGACAGCTGATCCCATGCCCCCACCAAGAAGTCCACAGCTTTCTTGACGTTGAATTTCCTCCAAAAGTGTTTCACAGGTACTTCTTGCTCTGCCAACTGTTGTTCCTCGTCCTCTTCGCTCTTGCTATCGGTGTCACCCAGGTTACGCAACTCATCCTTGGTGTTGGTATAGATGTTCAGGAGCTTAAACTTCTTTGCAAAGAATGCAGCTTTCACATTGCAGATTTATTCATGGTCCATGGGCTGGATTAATGACGTAGTGTTGGGAGGAAGGAAGACCACTTTTACGTTGGGGTGACGATCCAACAGTAGGGGCGAGTGTCCTGGTGCATTGTCAAGTAGTAACAAAATCTTGAATGGAACATTCTGTTGCTTACAGAATTTCTTCACGTCGGGAACGAAACGGTAATCAAACCAGGAGAGGGACAGAGTAGAGAACATCCACGCCTTACGTGTGGTCAGCCAGTAGACATTTAGCTTGGTCATGTCCATGTTCTTGTAGGCGTGTGGCTTGCGGGCTGTGTGGATCACCGATAACTTGAGTTTACAGGAACCGGAGGCATTGGTGGTAAAGAGGACGGTGATGCGCTCCTTCTGCAACTTCCAACCCCGACACTTGCTGGCAGTCTTGACAGCAAAGGTCTTGGAAGGTAGCTTTTTCCAAAACAGACCAGATTCGTCCATGTTGAACACCTGGTCGTCGGTGTACTGTCCTTCCTCCATAATCTCTCGTAAGAACGGAGGAAAATCCCTAGCCGCAACATGGTCAGCACTTGCTTCTTCACCACCAATGTTAATGTTGGTGATCTTGTTCCTCTTCTTAAACCTCTGCAACCGCCCAGAGGAAGCATTGAAGGGTTTGGGCTCTGCAATTCCCATCTTAGGTGACATTGCTGCATACAGTTCACGTGCGTACTCCTGAAATGAGCTCGTGTCCACCGCCATGTTCCGTCTTACCTGACGAATCAAGTAGCTCGCAAGTAATTTCTCCGTCTTGAGAAGCACCTTGTTGTGACAATACAGTACTTGATCATAGAAGCACCTGTGGACTTTGATGTTCATGTGTTTCTTTTATCTTGGCTGCATTCATCTTGATTGTCCGGATCGTAGATTCGTTCACACCATGCTGGCGCGCCAAATCAACATGTCTTGTTCCTTTCTCCAACTCTTGGATGATCTTGTATTTAATTTCGTAGCTTAGGGCACGTATCTTCTTGGGCCTAGGGCGGCTGGGTCCAGGTAATGCAAGGTTTCTTTGTGGTGGTGGTGGTGGTCCGGTGGCAGCCATTCTTATAGAACAATAGATACCGATATACACAGTGTGGCCGGGAGGGGTGTAACTGACGCAGGTAGGTCAACGGGCTTCATCGCTCCCACGGCGGGTCATTTCATATTACATTAAACCAATCACAGCTAGCGGGGTAGGGAGGTAAGGATGCTTTGCCCAATCACAGTCCGATACGTCATATGACGCCACCGATAACGCAACAAAGACATACACTGCGCAACCTACTCGCGCCGCTTACCCAACATGGCGGGAGGTTTGAATCCAAAAATGGCCCGGAGCGAGATGACCGCCAGCCGCTCTCCGCGTAAAAGAGTACATGCACCTCATAAAGTGAACATTCCGGGTCTGGCAGGGTACTGCATAAACGTGGAAACGAGTAAAAAAAAAAAAACGCGTTAAGCGGAGTAATACTGTATATGAATTTCATAATATGTCTGTTTTGTTGTGTTGTGAAATTTAAGTAAAGAGCCAGTATATCATCATCAATGTATTCAGGTCATTTTCCATGCTTACATAGGTTAGCCTTGATTATCTGATGATATCTGTTGGGTAAAACCAGAATGGGATGTCTTGCCTCCTTCCCCACTGCACAAAAAATGCAGTAGAAACCAAGGGATGGGCACAACTCTGGTAATGGTGGATCTCCACAGATTTGCCAATGCAGAAGCTTTACAGTATAAACTTTGATTACTGTATATTGCCCATAAACATTCACACATGGTGTACTAATTCAAGTCAATTGTGCAGGTTAGGACCATTGTGTTTGATAAGACAGGAACAATCACCCATGGCACACCAACTCTAGCCAAACTCTCCCTGTATGTGGACGAGAAAGTGTGCACACTCGCTCAGTTTCTAGCCATCGTCGGAGTAGCAGAAAACAACAGTGAACACCCTATTGCCTCAGGTATATTATTCTTTCTGTATTCAGTATCCAGTAAGTAATGGAAAGGTACTCATAATGGAAATATTTAGGCTTGAATGAAATATTTAAGTGCTGAAGCACAATAAATTATTTTTAAACTGATACTTTCTGTATCTGCTTCTTTATGCAGTTTAAAAGTCAGATTAGACCCATTCAAAATATCTTTATCACCTCATTTGACTTCCTTAGTTGTGGTCTTTAAATTAGTTATCCTCCTACAGCCATCTCCAAGTTCTGTCGTCAAGCGCTGGGTAACCTGAATGGTCAGTGTGAAGGCTTCAAGGCAGTGTCTGGCTTTGGTTTGCAGTGTATTATTTCTGGCATAGATCGCCTCATCACAGCCGCCGAGTCCTCAGAGATGTTGCTTAATGTAAAAAATCTCACTATTAATTACATCAATGAATATGGGTAAGTACTTGAAAATTTTACTTGGTTGGTGTGTCAGTCTCTTCTAGTAATAGAGTTTGTTTTTAGAGCAAGTTTCATAAGAATTTTTGTTTTAGGAAGGAAAAGCACGAAATATATGTACAGTAATTGCATTAGTAGGTTAGACCACCGTATTTTCTTACACTACTTTGTAACTGACACAGTGGGTCAGGTGACTCGTATACTGCACATGTGTCAACAAAATTAAAGATTTACACAATGGCTTTTATTTTCTTTTGGGTAAAAAGGATATGGGATTCAAGTCTCTTTGAGCACAATTAACTTGATAAATATACAAATATTCTTACATAAGTGTACTGTAAACAAAGTCAGACAAACTTATGTACAGACAGGATTACATACAGATGGCACTATTCAACCAAGATTTTTTATTTTTTTTTACAGTAAAGAATTAACCTTATTTCTCATGAATATCTATATTAAATATGGAAGTAATGCATGACTAGGATTAATAAAAAATGATTCAATTAGCTGTGTATACAGTACTGTATAGAAAAGGTAATTTTGAATTATATTACTATGTTTCAGGTGGAAATTTTTTTCACAAGGTCTGCATCTCCAATTGTGTAATGGAAGTTGATGGAAAAATAGGTTTCAAGTTCTGGAACTCTGACTTGGAGACAACTTTTCAGGAATGTAACCCTTTCATAACTCAAGGGTTGCCTGTGATAGCCATTTCTAATGGTCACTCCTCTCACTTTTAAGTATTGCCATTGTTGATTTGTTATACATTTTCAGACTAACGGATGTGTTGGATCAGCCACCACAGAGACGAGAGGACATGTTTCTCATTGGGGATGTTTTGGTTGACTGTTCTCAAGCACCACACGTATCGGTGGACACAGAAAATACTCCTCTGTTTTCACCGTCTACAACTAGTAGCAGCATGAACAATAAAAAATGCAATGAACCCTATCAGGTACTGATTTGGCTGTTTTTGTTGAATTCTAGTATGGGTATTCCTCGATAACGATTTGTTGGTTTAGTGATGTATAATTTTTTGACACCCTTTCTTGTTTAATGGTCAATTTTTGGTATAGCAAAGTTCGACTCGCTGGGAATAATTTGAGGGAAATCGGAAAAACTGGGGATTCTGTGCTCCAAGTCCACATCATTACAATACATACTCTAATGTGACTTGGAAATAAATAAAATAAAATATGAAACTATATAGTAAGAAAAATCAAGAGCATGAGTGTATTTGTGGGAGGTGAAAGTATGAATTGAGGCAGTGAGCTGTAACTGTGGCCAGCTACGCTCTTTCTTCCCCCTATGTGACCTCACGGCATACAGGCAGTAGCAGCCACACATGCCTCTGAGTCGGCTTGGTGACTTCCTGGCTGAACTGTGTTGCATGTGTACTGGACCAGTTAATCTGTAAATGTGAGGAATAATAAAAAAAAAATAATAGATAAAATAAAAAAAATACTGCATTGCCCTTTGGCAATTGTTTCATTGGACATGACAGAACACCTGAGAGATCCCCCACACTGCTCCTCCCTCCCCTTCCCACTCTGCAAGGAACTCCTGGGCACATAAGAGATGTTTTTTTTTTTTTTTCATAAGGGCAATATTTTTTTTTCCCGTTGACCCAAATTTGGGTCATAATTTCAAAATTCTGTAAGGGCAAAATTCTGTAACGCATGGGATGCCTGTATTATATCGCATATCGTATCATCTGGATTACTACATGTAACAAAGTGTTAGTAAATACAGAGTAGAATTTTGTCACAATTATACTATACAGGTTGTACCTCTCTAGTCCGGCAACCTCGGGACCTGACCGGTGCCGGACCATGGAAATTCACCCTTTTCCTGGATAGATAGTGACTTGTGCTTATGCTTGGAAGCACTAGCACCACTTTCTCTGTCTCATGGTCTCTTTGGAGACATATTGAAGGGTTAAATGTCGTATAGTAGCTTCTCAAATTTCGAGAGTTTTTAATTCTTAATGTATTTTATTGGAACACAAAAAAAAGATAAAAAAAAAAAATTTTGACCGTGGAAACTCGAATTTCGACGGGTTTGAACGGCCCGCCAACGTGCAGACGACGTGCATAATCGTGTAAACGGTGTCATTTCTCTTATGTACAAAAGATTCATTATTGTTTATTACTGAATGTCTTTTTTATTGAATTAATGTTTGTGTGCAAAATGAGCAATACAATTCATTAATAATACTTAGAATATTAAAACACACAAGGAAATGACACAGCATTGTTTTCGTTGATTACAAAGCCAGTGACTGACTGGTTCTACACATAAAACTGAAGAAAATAAGACCTTGGTTGTAGCTGTAGTAAAATTAATATGGTTGTTTTAAGTAATGTTATTTAATGTTTATAAATGGAACAATAGAAGTAGCTAACGATAATGGTAAAGAAAAAAAGAGATCGCGTATGGAAGTGCGCATGCACTCACGTGAAAACATATCGTCATTACTTTACATAAGAATATGAAAGCTACACTTATTTACTGTTCATATATATTTTAATTAATGTTTCTGAATTTTTTTTTATTGAAGTAATGTGTGTGTGTGTGCGTGTGTGTGTGCAAAATTAACAATACAATTTATTAATAATACGTGGAATATTAGAGGAGACGAGACGAGACGGCTGCCGGCATTGTTTGTTAAAGCTTACGAAACCAGTGACTGATTGGTTCTACATATAAAACAAGAAAATGAGACCCTGATTTTAGCTGTAGTAAAATTAATGTAAAAAAATGAATATGGTTGTTTGAAGTACCTGTAATGTTATTTAATGTTAATAAATGGAACAATATAAGTAGTTAACCATTAATGGTAAAAAAAGTGAGACTGCGCGTATGTAAGTGCGCACATGTGAAAACATATCGTCATTACTCTACATAAGAATATGAAAGCAACACTTATTTACTGCTCATATATATATTGAAGGGTTAAATGTTGTACTCTGTATAGACAAGCAGAGAGAACGAGAGCAGCCGAACTGCCAGATGTAAACAAACCTTAATTTCCCACGGCTTTGTTTTGTTTGTTTTTTTTTTTGTTTTTTTTAAGGGGATTAGCCCACCCGGGCAGAGGTCACTGACCCACATTGGGGCCTGGGGTGCAAAAATTTACGTAATACTCCTGTAATAATAATTCAGATAAGTGAAAAAAAAAAGAAAGCTGCCTATCTACCTATTGGATAAACTAAAATCTTTCCGGACCACAGAATGCCGGACTAGAGAGGTACAACCTATAGTACATTTATTTATTTTAATTTTTTACATTGATATTAGAAGTGCAGTATCTACACATTTTTACAGTAGAGTTGATATAGTACAGTAATCTGTTCGTGGGTGGAAGTGTTACAACATGGATAGTGTTGGGTGAAACAAAGGGACAGACAGACATGGTCAGGATCATGTCTAGATCACAAAATATATAATTATTGCATTGGTAATTTCTATCAACCTGACAATATATGATATAATGTTTCCAATGTTACAGTACCCACCTGTTAAAGTATAAAGTGTTACAAAGATGAAATTTCACCCTCTCGATGGGTATCAGAATGAATCCTTTTATAATGTTACACCCTTGAAAAAATTTTTAGTTTTAATGTACCAGGGAAGTTTAATGCTAATATAGGTCAATATTTCAGGTGTTTGTAGGTAATCGAGATTGGATGAGCCAGAATGGAATATTTGTTCCAAAAAATGTGGATGAACAGATGACCGAACAAGAAGCATTGGGCCGCACTGCTGTACTTGCAGCTGTCAATGGTCAGTATTCTGTTAGTTTTCCTAGTTTTAAAGAGTAATGTGCATTTCTAGTTAACCTAAAGATATTTTATTGTTTGAAGTATCCAGCAGCATGTTATGCAGTGCTGGTACCTACTTAAGTGTATGTACGTACATTTGCAGATACTGCACATGCTTTTTATAATGGTGCCATATGTCCGATCATACATAATTATGTCCACAGATAAGTACAATTTACCTGTGCTTAACCTGTCCATCACCATGCACTCACTGATGCTCTTACCTTCTTTTTGTCATAAATATCCATTGGGTTGTGGTCACAAATGGTTCAGTATACAGTACAGTACAGAGTATTTTGTATCATTATCGAGTATCCATTATACCCAACACTACTATAAGAGAAGGGAATAAAAAAAAGATGCTTCTTCTACATCTAGTGGTGTTAAGAAAATGTATAAACGGGTATTATTACTTTTAATAAAATTTAAATAATCCCATTCAAAATACCCTGAAAGCTGCCCCTCCACCTAAGCAATATTTTTTTTTCTCGTATGTAACTACTCCACTCTAGAATGTAAGCGGATACAGGGGGTACAATAATTTAAGGCAAGAAACATAAATTATCAGAATTGTCTTACTGTAGAACTAGTGAGAATCATTCAGGAGGAAAAATTAGTATGTGTTGTTCATACCATCAAGGAGTTTTGTATTGTGGCAGTGATGACTATAACAAGTTTCTTTTCATTTTATTTGTATATTTGTTCATTATTCATGCTATACTGTACTAAGTTTAAGTATTGAGCTTTTTTGCAGTGTAAATGAGTTAAAGTATTGCATTTACCAGTGCATTCAGTGAGCAGCATAGACAGTGGTGGAAAATGAGCTGTGAGGAACTACTGCTATGAGGATGGACTAAGCTGTGACTTGCCCCCCCATAAAACTGTTCACTTCTTGATGAAGATTTTGTGGGTCAATTGAGCTTGCAAACTTATAAAAAAAATTTGGAGTTAGACTTACCACGACATTGTAAGCACGAGTGTGAGGAGTGTGTTCAAGACTGGCTAAGTGAGGTGCAGATTGGCTGAGCACTGATCAATGCATGCTGTTCTGATTAGCTCAGCATGCAGCTTAAAGAAAAGACATGTGTGTTGCCTGTTCTCATATTAGACTTTCGAACTGCTTCACATTTTATTTTTTATTTTTTTTTTACACAAATCCAATAGAGGAAAATGTTATAACAAAAAAGTTCTAAACAAAGCAGCAATGATGGAGATCTTTTGACAAGTGATAATGAGAGCCATGGAATAAAAGGGTAGACTAGTTGGTTATATCTGTTTCTTTTCTTACTACAAAGTGTGTTTCCACCAGGTCAGCTTCTAGGCATGCTGGCTGTAGCAGATACAGTCAAGCCTGAGGCAGCACTGACTATGTATACTCTGAAGAAGAAAGGTTTAGAGGTCATCCTCCTGACTGGTGACAACCAGAAGACAGCAACAGCCATTGCAAAGCAAGTTGGCATCACCAGAGTCTTTGCTGAAGTCCTTCCTTCCCATAAGGTAGGTGTGAGAAGCTTGTTCAGATTACAAATTGGTCCTTGAATCGGAAATTTGATATGTACAGTACTATATGTAGCTACTTCACTTTATTTATCACGTTATAAGGTCAGACATACCGGTACTGCTTGATATGGATTATTTCTACAGAAATATTTGCAATTAAAGAGAATAATTTGTGTTGAATTAAATAAGATTATACAGTATAGTTAATCATTAGTACTAATAAATTGTTGAAATGGAGGAAATATCCCCAAATCATATTTCCAGGCAGACCCCACAGTTTGGATCCCTCTTTTTTTTTTTCCCCCCCCCCCCTTGGGTTCATGGTTAGCTGAAATGAAAGGCAAAAGGGCAGTTAGGTCTTAGAATCAAGATAACTGCCCTTGGCTAATGGGAACTAAGCCTATGTATTGACTAGGTACATAACTCTAAGTAGACCTCTTGCTCTAAAGAGGCAATCTTTGCATCCGATCTCCATCTTCTGAGGGCAATGGGTGTGATGGGGAAGGGTGGACAACTGATAAATCAGAACCCAGTTGCTATAAGGGTGAGACTATTGTACAGGTGCTCCTCTTACGAACATTCAGAGATACAAACAAACCTGCCCATATGTACTGGCTGTAGGTCATTTGCAGAGAACAAAAATGAATACATGCCCACAGTAGGCTAATATTACCAGTAAGCTCCTTTATCCTGTGCTTGCCTACCATAACCTTAAATTTTTGCTTATGTATATGCCACTTTAAATACGGTATACAAATAGAACCTGATGCAAATGAAGATTTACATATACATACTGTATATAATTTTCATAATCCCAAAAAATCTTAGACTGAGTATAGGATTTATGATGATGATCTCTAGGTAAAGAAAGTGAAGCAATTGCAAGAGTTGGGACAGAAGGTGGCGATGGTTGGTGATGGTGTCAACGACTCCCCAGCATTGGCTCAGGCTGATGTCGGTATTGCTATATCATCTGGTACTGATGTTGCTGTCGAGGCTGCTGATGTTGTACTGATAAGGGTAAGACATTTCTGTACTAATATTGTACTGTATGTTGATATACAGTATATTATAGTGAATCTATTATCCATTTTGTTTTTGTAACCCAGCTGTGAATGCATGGTAAATGAAAGAGATGAGTGATTTGTTTTAACTATATAATATTAGTGATAGCAGAAATATCAATGAAGATTATGTAGTATTTTATAAATCTCGCATTGTCTTTACTGTTATATGCACTTTAATATTGACACAATATTATAACACATCTTTATCCAGGAATTCTATGGGTAAAATTTCAGGTCGCAGGGCCCTAACTTATCTGACTGGGATCTAAAAGTTAATTATATTAAAAAATACATACAAAATCTGTTACCTTCTTATTTAGACTACTGTAAAAAGGTAGAACATTTGAGATTTTTGTCCTTCGGTTTGTTTTCTGAAAACTGATGTAAAGTACCATCATCAGGAACAAACCTTAATCTTAGATCCTGGTGGTTTTGTCATTAGGATTAACAAGCTGTGTAATTCACCAGCCATCTACTGAAAATTGTTTTCAAAGTATGGAATTTCTTGCTTTAATTTTTTGTTTTCCAAGAAATGAAAAATGAAAACCGTTTTTAATTTTTTTTTCCAGAATGACTTGATAGACGTGATTGCTTGCTTGGACCTTTCAAAAAAGACAGTGCGCAGAATCCACCTTAACTTCCTCTTTGCTTCGGTCTACAACTTGGTGGGGATACCAGTAGCAGCAGGAATATTTAGGCCACTAGGATTTGTATTACAAGTAAGATAACATATTCATTCATATAAAGTAGGTGTCTTCTTTATAACCTTCAAAACCTCAATGGGTGTCCTCTTTGAGATAATGAGGCTGCTATCTTGGTTTAGTCTTTCTGTCTTGAATGGGAATACCCATATCACCTGAAAGTCCTTTTCTTTAAAAAATGATGGATACATATATGATTGGAAAGATAGTTACTGATTTAGTACCCTTGTTCCTCCCAGGAAACACGAGCTGGCACGGTCATGTGAGCCAGTGCACTTGTATGTCGTGTTGTTTGCACATCCTCTTGATCGTAAAACCTCACAATGGTTGTGCAAGTGCATCTTTGAAATTAGAATATTTGCCCAACTAGAGTGATTAGTTGTCCGGTATCAAAGCAAGGATTTAGACACTGTTGCTACATAAAGTTCCTAACCTGATATCCTTTAAGTTAGGCTGTAAACTAATATCACCCCCCAACCACCAAAAAAAATATGTATATATAAATGTGTTTAAGCTGATTAGATTCAATATCTGTTTAACCAAGTGAAAACCAGTATTCCAAATATGAATATTTTTTGTTATTCCAGCCTTGGATGGGTTCTGCTGCTATGGCCATGAGCTCGGTCTCTGTGGTGTTTTCATCTCTTCTTCTTAAACTGTAAGTAGTAAATTTATCCAGGTGAGCATGATGTTATTTCTTTATTCCATTTAACTTCACCCTTAATATAATCAAGTACTGATCAACACAGCAGAAAGGAAGGGGTGAGGAATAGTGAAATGCTTGGGGTGATTAAATTGGCAGATAGATAGATATTTTATTGACCACGAATTATGAATATACAGAGTTAACACTAAAATTTTACAAAAAATGGTCCAAATGCATTAAAATGCCAAACATCCATAAAAGTTCACTGATTCAACCAGTAACACAAAAAGTAGAGGAAAACCACGAGTATATAAAGTAAAAATAAAAAAAAACTACAAGTAAAATAAACTAGAACATATAAAATAGTGGTGAAATGGGGGGAGAGGAGAAGTTTGTTGCGACGATATGGATGTGTGAGATAGGTGCAGGAGGAGTGTATGGAGGTAATGAAGGTGTATTAGGTAGAAAGAGCCTGCCTATGTAATGGAAGGAAAGGTTGAACAATACATTAAGAAGAGAGCAGTGAAGGAATAAGGGAATGTAAAAATTTGACCTAAAATATTTTCAGGTATCGTAAACCAACTCGAGAAACTCTTGCAACTCTAGAATACCATAAAGCACAGGAGGCTCGCTTAGGTGGACATGACGACGGTGACAACATATCGGTGCATCGAGGCCTTGACGACATCCCTGCTCCTGCCACACCTACTTCAGCTCTCTCCAGGTATGTACTGGGTAATATCATCATAATAAAGCCCCTTTGTGTATACAGTACATCCTGAAAGCTGTGACCCAAATTGGATTATGAAAATTTATATTCAATTAATCCATTATGTAACATCTGGATATTTGGGCTCCTTCACTGTAAACATTATTTAGATTAATGCTTTATGTAACAGATTAAATTTTTATCAAATATAATTTTATAGCCGAGAGGTTCACACACATTGGGGTTTTGCTGTTTGCCAAAAATAGTTAGGGGTCAAAATTGTAATGGATAGCATTAGTTTTCACAATTAATGCATGATTTTTGCAAATATCTTAAATATTTTGTTTTATTAATTGTAAATGATTTAATTGATATGATATAGTTGCCTGTTTTGTTTATATAATAGAAAATCCAGTCGGCAAACAATGAATCGCAACATCTTAAAACAGAAATAAAAAGAAAGAAATTTAGTTATAATGCAATATAAAACACCAGGTTTGGCTTGTGATTGTGTTGGTAGCCCTGCTCTTGCCACCTTCCTTTCCCCAACTGTAAAGTTAGATACAGGTACTCATTTACAACTGGGTGAATTGGGGATGTCCTTGGCCACAAGCTACTGACCCTAATTGAAGGACATGAGGGTATATATATTTGGCTGCTGCTGCACATTGTTTTAATAGTGTTTTGGAATATCCCAAAGTAAATAGAAGATAGAGGTACAGTATTGATTCATATCTGTATGTAGAATTAATTCATATACTGTACAGTGTTACCATAAACAATATGGATATTCATTCAGAACTTTATAACACAACTATAAACACATCCACATCATTAAGATGTGTAAAACAAGTTCAAGCTTTTAGCTAGTACAGTAGTGTTATTGTAGTATGAATAAACTAAACTGGTATTGCAGGGTCTTGTTTTTGTTTATAGTATATGTAGATGATGTCTGTTAATTCAGATAATTTTCACATCTAAACATTATTGATACTAGTGGCAGCATAGGCAGTAAGATGTTCTGTTAACTTAAGCATTACATATGTTTTTGCTTATTTATTAATTGGAGCATCATACCCGGCTGAACAAAAGTCTTGCAGTATTCGATATCCATCATAACCCTGATATTAGAATTTAATTTTTGTATTGGTGTTATCCTCCTCTTCCTCCCCCTTTTTAGCGTCATTAATCATATGTCATATTTGTTGTTGTTATTTTGTGGCACAAAACATTAGGACTACTAACTCCTTCAGGATGTTGTGATATTTTTTTGCTGACTTTACACATCACATTGTTGTCAGATGTGTAATTACATGTTAACCCATTTGTTTTTCAAACAAAAGTAATAATTCTTAGTTATCTTGTACCATGTACAGCATTGTATATGATTTTGTAGTCCATTTTTGGCATTGATTTTAAAGATAAAATATATAACTCGCGATTTAAACAGTAAAATATAGTTTCCCATCATGGAAAAGACATGGTCTTCAAAGTTTTTGGTAGAATCTTTTTTTTCATTTCATCCATTTTTTTGATAGCCCAATTTCCTCGCATTAATTTGAATATTCACAAAATGGACTGGTCTCTTGTTATCTACAGTCATTATGATATTGGAAACCACATTAATCCAAGAATTTTACATTTTGATAAGGTGTGAAGAAGTAAACTACCTTCTGAATAAACTAAAAGCGATAACTATCAACTTAACAGTCAATTAAATATTTTCTGGTTTTCTAGCACTTGCTAATAGAAAGGGAATTTGTCTCCTTAGTCAACACACAGGCCAGAATATTTTTACTTAACCTTCCTTTAACACCTTTAAACCAGGTAGCTCTTGTAATATGAGCCAACTTATTGAGGGATTCCTCAGTCCTTTGGACATCCTCTCCTCCTCCTATGGCATCCTGGGTTGGAATATTAATTCCTTTTGGTTTCCTTGCAGGTCAGGGAATATTTTGAATGTAAACTTCATATATTTTGCACAAAAGATAAAATATTTGCTTTGTGTAAACCAAATTATTACATTAGATCTAAAATTTGTATGTCTAATGCAAAATCCATGATGTTTATATTCAAAATGATCATCATATTGTAAGAATTCCAGCAATGTAAATTATATTCTGGCCGAGTAATTTGTATGAATTTTATGAGCTAAAACAAATATCTTCAGGTAATAAAAAAAAAAAATATTCTTCACGACACTACCTGTCAATCAAAGTACCCCACCTTGCCTCCCCCCCTCCTCACACTCACGCCAGCTGGGTCGGTTCTCCCCCCCCCTTCCCTACCAGAGAAATGTTTGGGTGAAAAAACTAGATTTTAACTTTTAGTAATAAATAATACCTCAGACTAAAGTTAGGATAATATAATTGACATTTCTGGATTCCTTGCAGGTCAGGGAATATTTTGAATGTAAACTTCATATATTTTGCATAAAATATAATATTTGCTTTGTGTAAACCAAATTATTACATTAGATCTAAAATTTGTATGTCTAATGCAAAATCCATGATGTTTATATTCAAAATGATCATCATATTGTAAGAATTCAGAGTGAAACCGTGTAGTGTAATGCGGGGTAATACTGTACAGGTGATACATTACCTTACGTGAGGCAGGTCTCTCCCATTCTTGCTACGGCCTTCCTGCTTTTATGGCACCATTATTTCAAGATTATTTTAAAATTATCACAGACTTACGAGGTCTCTTGGCATTGGTAGGGGTAGCCAAGGAATTGACTCGACACTTGGATGCCATTGTGTGCAGATTCATCAAGGAATGGCACGAATACACATGGATAGAGAGAGCAGTGCACTTCAAACAAACCTTAATCTAATGGCGTGTGAGATATGCTGTATGAGGGGGATGAGGGAGGGAGGAGTTGATGTTATGCTGCCCCAGCTGACTCCCGGATGCGAGGGATTTATATTCCTGATAGCGATCATTCATATAGTAAGGGATACCTGTACTGTATATGATTAGGCCACTCCAGGCATCTTAAAACCCTTGGGGGGGACACAGACTTCATCAGTTTTAAAAATGTACTCTTTGCCGGGTTAAAGTCCACGACCTCTTGAAACGGAACAAGTCGATATGGAGTGCACTTTCAATGTTACATATGGTTTGGTGCTTTTAGCTCTATTAATGTTTCAATGATGGCAGTGAAGAAACTTTTACAAACTTTTGAGTTAGACATCATTGGGCTTGGATCATGATAACCATTTTCTGAAAACCCTTTATCACTGTATTGAGGTGTTTGCTGCTAAACTTTTGTTCAGTACAGCATGCCGTTTTTTCTCAACAAGCAGACAATATTTTATCAGTCAATTTTATGAAATTATTACAAAGCTTATGACTTAATTTTTATTTAAATTTTTTTAGATGAAACTTGCCATTAAAAGTTGAGCATGCAATCTTCTGGATATTGATATAAGATCTTCATTGGGAGTGAGCACTACTATATATTGCTTATATGGGTGAGTTTGAAATGGAGCTTTGGATGAAATGCCTTTGGATTTGAATTGATCTCCTACTTATTTCATAAGAGGTGGTAGAAGAGTAAGCTGTTACTTTAATAGAGGAAATTCGGTTTGAAACTGTACCAGTAAGGGAACACTTCTAAAATGTAATTATGGAAGAATGACTTTACTGTACTGGGATTCAAATATTTCTTGGATTTATCTGCCATCTTAAAGTTTATGAACTGACATTTTTTGTTCTTGGAACATGAAAGCTTTTTTAACTTTAATGTTTAATGCCTGGGATCCTTAACCCCCTTGTGTTAGCCAAATAAACTAATAATAGTGGCATCCCCCACAGTGAGGGTTTTAAATTTAAGATTTATAGGTGACTTCTTGTCAGAATTCTGAGCTAGCATTACATAAAAATTAGGGGTAGTCTTAGGTTCCATGGTGTTTTCCCAGTAGTAAATCCTGGTCATGTGCTCGAGGAATGTTCCTCGACTTTTGCCGTTGATGCAATGCGAGGAATGCATTTCATGCATGACGGTGATAGGCTTTTGGTTTTATGGCCTTTCTTGTGGAACTGGGCTTTTAGGGAACTTTTAGGGCTTAAACTTCATTGGTCTGTGAAATTTAGGAATCTAAATTTGCTTAGAAGTGCACGAGTTTATTGACAACTTTCAGTTGAAGATGCAGATTAGCATTCTGAAGTGTAGTGGACATCGAGAAAGCCAGGGGCCAAGAGGTATCTTGTTTGAGTGGTTTTGGCATTAAATGAGGGCTCAAAAACCACTGAGTAAATAGTGAGGAACATTAGAATTTTGGGGCGAAAGTAGGGGTTCATCAAAACTTATTCTGTTTATCATGGTGCAGGAGGCAATATCATGGGACTTTAGGACTGGTTTACCCTGGGAATTGTTGCATGTGTGATGACTTAGTGCTGAAGTCAAAGGGCTTGAGTTTGGATGTAGTGAAAAACAAAAGTAATGATCAGTGGCATAATATGCAGCGAGTATGGAAGGTGGGTACACAAGAGTTACGGTGGAGTAGGTGACAACTTAAGGGTGCTCTTGACTTTTAAGTGTCTTGAATGCACATGTGCTCCTATGGCCTTAGCAAGGCTGGAGACACACAACATTGGAGATCTATCCCCAGACTGTCCTAAAAGTTCTGCTAACTGGGTGACATGATCAGTGCTGGAGGGGGATGCTAAAACCAGCTCTGTTGCAAGATTCGGAAGTGGCTGGAGTAAGTTAGGAAGTTGCTGCTTTTAATGATGGGAAGGGGAACATTCCTTCCACATGAAAAGACGTACATTGCTGGTGTGATATTGTAATACCTGTATACTGTACTGTACAGTAATTTTTGTAGCAAGAATTCAGATGACTTTGTTTTCTTGCTTGTCTATTCTTCCTCTCCTTACTTTTCATTTCCTTTACCGAGAAGTAGATAACTTCATTATTTTCATACTTTTTTATTAATTAGTTTGAATAATAAATCTTTGAAATTATTATTATTTTTTAATCAAAATGCAGTTTTCAACACAAATAATGAGATTTTATTTTCATTCTTCAACACATAGTATTAGGAATGCTTCACATGGTATGATCAACTAATATGGAGATCAATATCCACAATATGTGCATATTTTTCTTGAATATAATTTGGTGTATACTGTACTGTATAATGCTCATAATTATAAGTTGAAGTTTGTGCTTTGTGTGTTGTTCATGTGCTGCTTTATTATATGTGCCAGTCATGGTATCGTTTTAGATTTGCGCTTGTTATAAACATTTGGATAATGATTGTGAAGTGATTTTCAGCTTTTTGTTAATTGTTCTTGTGATTGATGCAGTGTTTTTTGACACAAATTGCATTTGATAATATTTTCTTCTGCATGGTAATAATCATTGTTCCATAAACTATTTGCATATTTTCTTGTAAACATATTACTGTTATGTACTTAATGAATGGTTCAACATATCAAAACCTAGATTATACAGTATTCAAGAACTGCAGTATTTATGCTGTATAACTTTTAGTTCGTCCTTCAATTTTCTTCCTGGTAAATCTTTTAATTGGTTAATCTCATAACTGGTTCTGATCATTCCTCATTACACTTCATCAATCATAAATTTTATCCTTAATAGGTGACATTATTATACTACCTTCATTTTAGCTTGTTGTCCAGCAATTTTAGCTTTTTTAGTTCAAAAGAAAAGAACTGTCATAAAGAAGCAACATTTTCACTTGACCCTAGTATTTTCCCTTACTTTCCAGGCTAATTGCAATTCAGTAAAGTTGAAAGAAGAGAAACTACTTTTTAATATGATTGAATTAATTTTTTAGAATGAGTTGGCGTGCGGCAGTCGAGTGGACACAGTGCTCACCTCTTGTTCCAGGGGTTGGTGGTTCAATCCATGGGTACTCCCAGCTGTCACTGGGTACCTAAGTTTACAACTTTGGGGAAGTGAATACAGTCGAGTGCAGTACTGGCCATGCTGCGTCCTTTTGTACTGAAGGCTTAGTATACAGTGTGCTATATCTGCACTGTCCATAACAGGCAGTCTGCCTATGGTACCCACTTCAAAGGATGAAGATATTAAAAAAAAAAAAAAAAAAAAAAATCGGTGTCGGAATAACCAAGTTTCAGGGGGTGCCAACGCAGAGTAGCTCTGGATGACTTGCAATATGGTTTAGCAGGAAGCCAAAGGATTCTACACCTGTACAGTTGCTGGTTACTTGTTCCTTGAATTTTGGCAATGTTCCATCGAGATATCAGTTTGAACCAGTTTAAACACAAGTAATAACAAAGTAACTACAGGTGATAATTATTCATGGATTACTAGGAAGAGAGAAGGCATCATTTCCATAGTAACTTTTCTCTTGAATATCCCTTCAGTTTTTGTTTAGCTGTCATTTGATCCTAAACATTTCTATGCACGTTCTTTTACATCTTTCTCGTTTTATTTTGTATTTAATTTTTAATCACATTGTGTTTCCTTTAAGTTGGATGTACACTTGCATGCCATGTCTTATATATCGTTAAAGTTAATTGATATCACATTATGTACAGCTACTTGTATTTTAGCTTTGTAATTTGCACTTTTTTCTTGCCATATTGCATGACTTTTCATGGGATTTTTAGCTCTCTTAGTTAAGTGTCACAAACCAAGTGAAACCTATCTGTCTGTGTATTGCTGTTCAATTATGCACTACACATGTGATGTTTTACCCCGAGTGCATGTTGTATATAGTTTAAAAACCCCTTTAACTGAATAACTGCTTGCCATTAGATATAAAGTATATACAGTACTGTACTTGTTTTTGTGGTCTACCCTCTATCTGCATTTCAGAGCATATGGTTCAATGGGAGGTTGTAATTTATTTGCAGTAGCTGGAGTTAAAATTGCTCATTTGAATAAGAAGGTTGTAGGACTAAGGTGGTCACTGGAGTAAGGTGGTCATTGACATACGGGGTTTGCAGGAATGGGGTAGTCGCTACTTTTAGCTGTGAATTTTTTCTGAAGAGCTCTTCATACTTGTGGAAGATAGAAAGGGTGTTTGACATTGAGCTTTGACTGATTTCAACCCAAATATATCTCTCTCTCTCTCTCTCAACTAGATTGATTAGATATAAAGAAAATACAGAATTTAATGCAAAGAATCCTCACTTTTACTAAATATAAAATCCTGAGCTTTACATTTAAAGACAATCATGGTGTTAGTCCTCTTCTTGGGTTTACCTCAGAAAAATACTTAAAGGAAAACAGAATATTTTTGAGAAATCTGTATCCATGTTGGGTTTAAGGAAGATGCTGTACAGTTTATGTCCTAGTAACAAAGGTGTTTGGGTATTGTTGCTTTTTGTATGTGTGAGTTCTTTCTCAACCAGAGATGCCATTTTAAGACAATGTAGATTTGCTGATGGGTAAAAAAAAACAACTAAGGGAAGAAGTAGTCTGTGAAATATTGTTGCACTGCATATTTATTTACCAATGAATGTAATGTTGTCTTTTATATAGTACATAGGTTGTTTTTGTGTTGAATACTGTTCTTGTTATATTTTTATTAGCTTACATATGGCATTGTTTAGGGATACGTTCTAATTGCACTTGACACTTGACCATTAACTGCAAGATACAAACATTTTTATGATGCAGTCTTTAAATTTGCATGTTATATATATATATTGAGCCATAATTTTATCTTGCCAGAAATTGTACCCCATTTTAGGGTGTCGAGTGTACAACGGTAATGTGCGCATCTCTCGCTACTTTGTTCTGGGTTCGAGTAGTGGTGTGTTACAGACTTGAGAAGGGTGTTGTTCAGTGTGACATTACCAAACATCACAAGTTTCTTCCTGGTACTGCAGACACACCAGGCTAGAGTCTCTACCGGAAAAATGGATTTCGGGATTAATCCTCTGTTTTTTGTTCATATTATGTAAGATTAATGTACCTTTATATAAAAAAAGTGAAAGATGCCCTGAGTATATTTAAAAAAATATTAAACCTATAGTACCCATTTGGAATGTCACTAAATTCAGTTATTAAAATGTTGAGTGAACAATGTAATTCTAAAGATTTATTATAAGAATTGAGAAAGTAGAATTAAAATATCCCATTCTGTTTTCACATCTGTTTGTAGAAATACCAATGTAAAATTACCGTGCCTTAATTTTTTTAACTGAACAGTATAATACTGTAGATGAAAGTTAGAAAGATAGCTCTCAGCTATTAAGTATGCAAACATAAAGAATATATTTATTAAGGATAATAACACATACCAAAAATTTATCCGATACTTTCAAGAATTTCCGTTTTGGAACTAAAAGTTTTGTTTTTTCATTAACAAGATGCCATTAGCATATTTACTGTGGTTTGGACATTTTGTATCACCCACAGATATGTTGAGCTAAAAGTGCAACTTTAAAACACTTAATGTACAGTATATTCTTAAAAGATAAACCTTGTGAATATTTAAATGTTCATCTAATGCACTACACATCATACACATGTAAATGAAAATGCTTGCTCTGTGTACTGAGCATAGCACTTCTACATGACCGTATTAGACTTCAGTAAGCTTCTCTTGTGAATGTATGAGTGGATACAGTGATTACAATTATAAATTATAGACATATTGCATGTGAACATGGTAGCTAGCTATAAGCTAATGCCAACCTTTGGTTATCTGTCTTACTTGGTTCTCACTGGGAGATGTCGAACAGTGTCTACTGAAGCCATATTTTGTGATATGTGAGTATTCCCTTACATCCTCAGAGTCAAAAAGAACCTTCAGGGCATTTACCGGTCAAGGAGACCAGAGTGTCAGTGCGCTGGCATGAGGTATGGTGGAAAGTGTTCGTGCAGCTATACCGAGACCCTGAAAGCCAGGTACCTAGCATATTACAGCACTGTGTTTGGGCTACAAGAAGGGAAGGTGTTACTCATCAGATAATGTTTATTGCATTTAGGGATCAAAAGTAGTTAAATAATATATTGACTAATTACTTAATTGATTAATTATTTGTGATTTTTACTTTGAAGTTTTTCTCCATAAACATGTTATCCTGATCAAAGATTCTATTTGCCTTGGACAAAGTTAGGCAAAAAGTTAAGGGCAGCCAGTATACTTGTATCAAGAACAATCTTCCTTGTAAGTTATGTCTGATGGCAGTTTTTGTTTAGCCATTTATAACAAATTATCTCCTTGGCTGACTGTATCACCTTTTATGACCTAATGCCTGAACCAAAAGTTCCCTAGATAATGCCATCTGGCTCTAATTCATTGAGTAGTAATATATCTCCTGTGTAACCATATCCCTTAAAAATTTGCATGGAAGCAGAAGTAACCATGGAAGGAAGAGGATAAGGAGTTAGGTTCTCGCTATGATCCCAAAGTACTGTACTGGGTCAATCCCTCTCTTCTAGCTGGCTTCTTGCTCGGTGAGACGGGGTCTTCTAACAACTCAAGAGTAGAGATTAAGTTGTTTTGCCTCAATAATATAGTGTTTTGGGAGTTTTATTGATTGTCTCGCAAGGGTTCTTGGTCACTGTCATAAGGAAAGTTATGATCTTTTTATGTATTTGTAAGCGCTGTTGACATTTGTTAAAGACTCCGTTTCGTTGTTGTGTTATTACATTGAACCAACATAGTATAAAATTGTGTTGAGGAAGGACTCCTAATTTTAGTGATAACTAAACCTGTCATAGGACAAAAAATTTTAATACATTGCACAGTTGTCTGGGCTCAGATAGGTGGACACTTGTGTGATCCAGAATAGAATTACAGCACAGGAAGTTAAAATTTAAAGGATGGTTGGGGGCACACTCGCTTCTCGCCTCTAGGTAAACTGACCTGCATATTAAAGGTACAGTATTGTCTTTTAGTTTGCAGTTTGTAAGTTGAGGAGGGTTTTAATCTAACCCATTTTTTGTAAGTTAGTGATAAAGCCTTATTAGCTGCACATTTTAATTTTCCATGAGCTGATAGATGGCAAGACCCTAAAACACAGTGAGCTCTCGTATCCTTGGCAGACTTCATCACTACCACACAGTTGTATGACTTTGTTTTATTCAGTAAGCTTAATATTCATTGTTTTGCACATACTGTTTTATTCTTACTCATTAAGTGATATCTCCGTTAGCCTGAACAATTGGTACAGAGCACTTCCAGGAATGAGAGATTTCCGGGTAACAAGACGACTCAAAGTTGGAAAAAATCCCTTTTCCCTGGAATTTTCCAGGAAACGGAAAAATATTCTCGGAAGCTCCAGTAATTGTGCGTTACCATCTCTCTCGGATCCAGAAAAATATCCCCCATCCCCGGAATTTTTTGGGTACCGGGAAAATTTTTCCAGAAATTTGGTCCCTCTGAAAATTGTTCCAAAAGCTGTAATTTTCTGGGAAATTCTGGCTTTGGGAATGATTTTAAGATAGTTTTAATTCCGGCTAATGGAGATATTATTGTACATTATGAAGACCATAAAGGTATTTGAATACCTCAGAAAGTGACCACTTTACCTTGCCAGATGTTCCCTCCCAGTGGTTTGGCATTAGGAAGGGCAGCCAACCGTAATCTTTGCTTCAATGTGCCCGAGCTGTACCCATCCCGTCATTGCTGTATCTTATAGGCAGTGGTTAGTGGAGGGGATAGGGGACATAACATTAGGGTTTTAACCAACAGCTACCATTAGGTAACCGCTGTTAATCCACACAAGCGTGAAAAATGGCCATAAAACATTGATGATAATAAAGGATTGCGTATGAGAAATTATTACAGAATTACAGGCTATTCATAAATTAGATTTGTATTTTGAAGTACTGTGTAACCTCCACAGGTATATAGTACTGTATAATATAACCTCAACAGGTATACAATACTGCATAACCTCCACAGGTATACAGTACTGTGTATTTAGTTTGATGGTTAAAATTAGATATGATAATATATCTGTAATGAAAGCATTTTAAAGTTGCAGTTGTATGAATTTCATACTGACCTTATTAGTAAGTGTGCCTATGCATTAGTGAATATTGTTGTTATTCTGTACTCCAGATAATAATTCTCTCGACTCTTCCTGGTATAAGTATCATTTATTCTGACTGTGAGGAATCTGCCTATTAAGTGATAATCTCTGGTTAGGATCCTAAAATGTAGTAGGAAGTCGTGTTTCATTGAACAAATTCCTCACGTGTAAATGAAGTGCTCTTAATCATTATAAAGAAATATTCTCCTTATGGTATTATGTTAGTTCTTAATGCCCATAAGCTTTTTGTATTACAGCATTGGTGGTGAATGTCCTTGAAATATATCATTTATCAAATTTTTCCATCTTTGCTTTCAAAATGCCAACAAATAACTTTTCTCTTGAGACAGCTGTGAACAAGCTGACATACTCAAAAGAAAAAGCATTTGGAAGCATAAGAAAGCTTTCAACTACAGTGTTGCCAAGTCACATTACCTGTTCCAACATCTCCTGTACCTCTAGATGACCATAAGAAAAAAGAACCAAAACATGGCTGCCAATAAACTTCATTGCTTTTAATAAGTACAGTATAGTACCTTAATTCCTATTTCTTCCCCCAATGTTTATAAGAGTGCTGATGTTTATATTAGATTTCTTAAACTTTTTTTTGTTAGCTACTACGGTATTGATTTAGTATACTGTATGGTACGGTACAGTATATGCAAAAATGGCGCATCTGTGATCAGGATAACATGTATGTGAATGGGAGAAAAATTTTCCAATCCCTTCAAAAATCTTGATTTATTGATGTTGGAAATGATTTAATTGTAATTAAGTTCTATTTTTTTATTTAAAGGATCATAGTGTAATGTTTTGATAATGTGTATCATGTGATTGTTTGATTAATACTCGTATGTGTATCTTGAGAGTAACCTTCAGTGCAATTGCATATGTTTTATGTTTGATAATCAGATAACCTTCCATTAACCATAATGCTGTGCAGTATAACAACCTTTCAACAATTTCTTCCAACAAAACTGCCATTTACAACTTTCAGATACTGTTTATGGTTGACCCCACTTGTCAGAAAAAATTTGATCTAGTAAGCATGGCAACATTGCAGGTTCAACGCTATAGCTGGTGTGGAGTTAGGAGGTGAGAGTGATGCAGAGATGGAGGAACTTTTACCTAGAGTTGATATAACTCGAGGAGGAGAAAGGGGAATGTTTGAGCATGGCATTGTTGGTGATGGTGGTTATGGTGTTGATGACAGGCCCACACTAGTACCATCAGAGTCTCTAGTGGTACAGCTCTAGTGAGTTACAGCTTCTAGATACGCTCTCCTGTAAGTGCATGCACCGCTTTTTCATATTACTTTATTCTTGCACGATTCCCTGCTCCACAGCTATCTTATATGTGCCTGTGTGATAGATTTAAATATTTACTGCAAAATGCATTACTGTATTAACATCTTGCTTGACTAATATTGAGCTTTCTAATTCTCCAATAATGCAAACCTAGCTAAAGTAAATTCAGATTTTTGCTTTCCCATGAATGTAAATATTTTTGCTCCTCAATATGTATTTCCATGCGTTGTTGTCCTCCCTAAACACCTTGTTAGTTGCCTATTATTTTGCCTTTTTATTGCAGGATATTTGGATCTCTGCGAAGACCAGGGAGACAAGGCCACCTTCCAGTTCCAACAGACGATGACGACTTGGATTTGGAGCTTAAGTTTATTTCACCGTGATAATTTTTCTTTTCTCTAGTCTTCTTTGACAGCTACTAATAATTATATAGAAGTTTGGAGCCTAATTGAAAAAGATACAATTTCCCACCGGATTCTTGTTTTTTTTTAAATACTATTGGAATAGGTTGCCAAAGAAGCTTCATCATCACCACGTGCTGCCCCATGAAAAATTTATCCCACAGAAGTGACTGCTAAAATGTTAATATTTTATTCAGTGTTTTAAAATGACCATAAAAAACTACACAGCACAGTTCACTCATTCCATAGACTTAAGATACTGTACAGTATATACATTATGATCGTTTGTTTACAGTGATCCCTGCAAATGTTTGAAGCTCGGTAGAAGAAAGTCTTGAGATTAAAGTCATACATTTGCACGGCTAACTTCTTCAGGGAATTAGGAAATGCTTTTCAGTCCCACCTGTTGTAGGAGTTTTTAAGACAATATATTTGTTTTTAACCGTTGGTAAACATTCACCAAATGGACACAGCTCTCGCTTCCTGTCCTAAAGGTCTTTATCATGTAAACTAGGGTACCCCGAATCTATACTCTGTTGTAAGTAGGTATAAAGTATTCAGTTGAGGAAGAGAAGGCAGTTGAGTGCAGTGCCAGCTCCACTGCTTTATTGTGTATTGTATGCCTAGTATTCACTGTGCTGTATCAGCACTCCTTAAATAGACTGTTAGTCCATGGGGACCAACTTTCACCTACTCGTAAATTCAACTCCTAAATAGTTTGTATATGATGGTAGGTGGTGATGCATGTTAGTCCCAGTGACAAGCAGGCATGGTGTTTTGTGGCTGGCTTTAAAATGTATTCTTCTAAAGGTAGGTAAACATTTACATGCAATGTTATATCATGCAATTTACACTACAATTAAGTAAATACTTTGGAGGTAGTGAAGATGGTGTTTGATGGTTGAGGCAGCATTCAAGTGGTATGCATGGAGGCTGGTTGTAGATCTTTTGAACATATACCATATAATCTCATCCCTAGTATGAGTTTTTAAACAAATAATTTACCCATAAATCATAGGTAAATGTTCACATTCAATGTAAATAAATAACAAGCAAGTTAATTTTGTGGATACTTAGGGATAGCGATAGATGGTGGTGGTAAAATTGGTGGATAAGTGTATTGAACAGTGGTCAGCACGTGAGTGACTGTATTTCCTTTTTCCTTGCAAGTTACAGCACCAAAAATAGTACACACACACACACATACCGCACAGAAGCTGTAACTATATGTTGCACAGTGCTTGATGACAAATCTGGGAATCCTACCATAGCAAGACACACAATGACTGATGCTGCTCACACCTCCTGGATGGTGTGTAGGTGTCAAAGATGGCTGGTAGAAGACATTACCTGATTTTCCACTGCATACCTATGATGATTGCTCAGATATCTAGGAAATGATTTTCTTTATTCAAAATAGGGGGGAACTAATTTATCAAACCTATGTCATACATTTATGGAGGATCACTGTATGTAGTTGTTTATACCATATACTACTGTACCATGTACTTCTATGACTAGTTTCATCCTGGGATGGGAGAAGCTCATTATATAAGTAATTCAGACCTGCCACTATACTAACCCAGGCCTTGACTGAGGTCTTAGCTAAGACTGATAAAGTTCACATTGTAATATGTGTCTGTATGTCACACACTGCTGTTATAATGGGATTACTTTTTGTTAACTTGACCAGTTTACTGCATCTGTCTCTTTAACTGAAATGAAAGTAAGTGAGATAGTCCACAGAAGCTAATAATTTTTCCTGTAAATCCATTAATTTTACGCTATTTTCTGTTTTTTATAAAAATATCTCATAGAATCTTTGGGAACAAAAAGTGCAGTAATATTTCAGAATCTTGGTACTCAACTCGACCAAATTGCTTTAGTGGGGATTACTATATATGAATGTTTCTTCAAAATAACTTTGCTCAGCTGCTTTAATAGATGGCTGTTTCCTCTCCAAGAGGAATATGTACCCAGCCTGGGCCCAGGAGAGGTGGGTGGATAAGATGTCAGAACTTGAGGCCCCCATGGGCTGGTCTTTTTTAACAGAAAAGAAATTGTTTAAATAATTTATCAATTTAATTTTTAATTGGTATTTAAAAATATTTAACGGGGTATATTGATACTAATAACTATGATTTCTTTTTCTTCTAAACTACTTGGAATTTTAAATCAAGACTTTTAGATGAGAAGTATTTTGAAGTGTTAATAAGGAATATAAGCATGTAAGTGAGATATTAGCCCAAACCTTTAAAATAATCAGCAACAATGTCAATTTGGGGAGTAGTGTCCAATTTCTGCTTGTAAGTGGCATTAAACCACTACTGACAAGTTACGGACCAGAATAATGTAACTTAACATTATGAAGTTATTTTTTTAAGTTAGAATAGAATGGGGGCTTGGAATCAGATTCCTACAATTCCTCTGTCTGCATCAAGGTATAGGATGTGTTGATGTGAGAGAAATGTATATTTATTCACAAAATGTAATTTAGAGGATGAAAGTAAACTGCATATTTTTATACAAGATGAAAGGAATTTGAATGTGGTTTATATTTTTAATCTGATTTTATTGAGTACAGTATATATAAACATTTCACTTTTGTTTATAGTTTAGGTACTTAATGCTTCTGTGCATACAAACCATAGTTGATGTATTTGTGACAGATTTTATAAAAAAAATCATATCCATTACGATTTTATTTTATTTTCTATACTGTACACTAATTGATTGAACTGAATGAAAGCAGTGGTCATTCCAGTGGTCAAGAGTTGAAAACAAATATCAGTTCCAGATAATTTTTTATGCAGTGTATTGGTGTGTAAACCTTTTTGACCTCAAAAACACACAAAATGGTTAACATTATTTAACAGTTTTCCATTTACATCACAGATAAAAATATTTCCTGGCATACAGAATCATTGGCTTTCCAATTTGATTTTATGAAATCCTTTAACACATGTAATAACATTTTCCTTTATTTAAATCTCTCAACAAAGTATATCGTATCTCTTGTGTTTCTCAGGTAGAAGGGGTTCTTTTACATTTTTGCCCTGATCAATGAGAAGCCATTAGTACTGTATAGCTTACCAACTACATTTAGTAAACTTCATTTTTTAATGATATTTTCCATATACAGTTTAAACATTCATTGCTTTCATCCATTTATTTGGTATAGATTCACATTGTCATGTAGCTGTACATTTTTTCACCCCTTATTCAACTGCTGTGTCATTTCCATACTTTATCAGTGCCTGCATCAATATCTTCACCCCTTGATTTTTCATGCTTTTAGGTACATCACTGTTCTTTTTACTTTTCTCAAATGCCTTCATCTTCTCATTATTTGTATGGCTCATCAAAAGATTTCTGTTGAACCAATAACTATATCTATTATTACACCATATTATAATAAATACAGTACTTGTACTGTATTGTGATACCGCTATATACTTTGTGAGTAGACATGCCGCTTCTTCTGTCCTTCTTTTCTCCCTATGATGCACTTTAACTCTTCACAAAGTCTTTCAATTCTCACAAGTTCACCACCAGCCAGAATAGTTTATCTTTGCGAAAATTATCATTTGTCATCTTTACATTTACGTTATTGGACATCTTTTATTTTATTAGATTATGAACTGAAAATTTGGTAGGAGAAACCATCTGTAATATGATAACACTGAGTAAAAGATTGGTTCTGATATCTCATTTTATAAAAAGTATGTTTTGAGGGTCTAATATCCAGGAAACCCTATTTACAGGGGTATTAGTGGTTTGGGTTTATCCTTACAATTGGTCCTCTTCCCTATCTTAATTGTCACCCTAAAAGGGAGGATAGAAGCAACAGTTGCCCTCACTGACAGTAGAGGCCTGGCAGCTAGTGGAGTCATGACATGAGACAGACAGATACCCCTTACTTTTACATTATTCGTGGGTTGGCCATCTTGCATGGTTTCCAGTTAAAATCATTTGGTTCCAGCCAACTGGGAGGAGGGAAGGGTTCCAAGTCACCATGGTACTATCGTGAACAAAAGTTCGCTCCCTGTGGTGAAACCGAGTCGCGGGAATGAGTCTCCGAACTGACTTACCCTAACTGTCATTTGGTGCGGGTGTGCTGTTTTATCTCATTTGGGTCGATACTGCTTCAGTTTGGGAGGGAACGAACTTTTGTCCACGATAGTATATAAAGGTTGTCATGATATGGTGTTTCAGGGTCATTCCTTCATTTGTTTCAATTCTCTCTGCCTGGCAACTTGAGTAACTGAAATTAGCTTAGAATATAGAACTTAGACTTTCACATTTCCCCACTAATTGCTAGCAGCATGAGGTCAACCTGACACAGGAGGTGTACTACTATAAGTATCCATAGCCTGGTGCGTCAACAGACCTCAAAAGGGAGGAAACCTATTAATAGAAATAGGCAATGGAGAAATAACTTGCACACTTCCTTACATTGTGCAGTCCCATAACATTGTTCAAAAGGACATCCAATAAGTGGCTTGGCAGATGCCCAGAATCCTTCAGGCAAAAGTGGCTGAAGGGATGTTCCTTGCAGCAAGACCAGGAATGTCATGATGCTTTAAAGGTAAAGTGCCCATAAAATATAACCCAACAGAGTTCGTCCAAGAATTAAACTTAGTTATAACCTAGTTCCTCCATGTTACTATTTATTGTTCACTATCAAAATGTTGAAGAAATAATCTGAAATTCAGACTACAGTATACTGTATTCATCCTACCAAGTGAGTAGTGAAAACCACTACTGTATTAAATTTCAAGCTTAGAAGTGAATGTAATCCAGCCCAAACCAGGAGTCTAATTCTTGAAAAAGAATCTGAAATTTTATTTGGGTTTAACTTACTCGAGAAATTGTTCAAATAAGACAAACTTATTGTTTGCCTTCAAAGTAAGAAGCTTTAAACACCTTAGTGTAAGATCAAGGAGGGCAATGATTTCTAAAGAATTGAATGACTATTGGTAGTTCAAGAATAAAGACTTCTGAAGCTCAATAAACATTGAGTTCTGTTAACAAGGGCTTCTCTCAAAATGGTTTTCTTCTGTACATGTTTATCACAGTTCAAGCTACTAGAGAATTGACAGAGAATTGGATTCTGGAACTTAAAAATAAAAAAAATCATAAAAGTCAAAACCATAGAGGCTGCAAAAAGAACAGAAAAAGTAGAAATTGAAGGTGTAAACATGTTTGTCTAATGCCAAGATTACAATGGTCTCTTGCCCACCATTATTCGTGAGGTTAATTTTTTTCTACTCCCTTTTACGTTGATGGTTGGGACACGGAGGTGGAAAATCCTAAGATAAATATCAGCCATAATTGTTATGGGATCTCCTGTGTCCTGAACCCCCAAGACTTGTTAAGTGTCTATATTACCGAGTTTTGAAGCACAAGTCATCAAATCATAGAAGAGAATAAATCTCACATTCCAGGTCCATTTTATCTATGCTATGTGATGTTTGGGGTGTATGTACTGTACAAGATATGAACATGTTTATTTTCACTCCACTCTACTAGTTTTCACACAAACTAAGGCAGTAGTCTGACAGACAGGTAATGTACGTTGAAAAAATTTATATTGTACTGTACTATGGTTACTTATACTTTAGATTCTTATATCAAAATATTCATATATTGTACTGTAATAGACACCTATAATAAAATGTGAAAATAAAAGTCGAAGTTTTATTACCAAATATGTATCCACTGTAATTAAAAGAATTGAGAGCTTATTCAGCTTTAAAACTTGCTGGAAAATTAAAGTATAGCATACAGTAGTCTGCATTTACGCGGCTTTTGTTTACGTGTGGTCATTTACGCGGTGCCTTAACAGAATTAAATGCTTTAATTATGCGGTAAATTTGTTCATTTACGCGGGAAGCAGCGCTGGCAGGGTGCGCACAAGGTCGCCCAGTTATCAAAGCATTGCCGAGTTCTTCACCCACCACAGCCGGCCCAAGTCAGTGATAGTGAAGATATGGACTTTGAGGGGTTTGACAAAGAGGCCCTACAAGCCTCTGTGGTGGATAGTGATACAGGTGAGGGCCAATAATCTGCCTTTGCCTCGGAACCAACCTCCCATCCCCGTGAGCCCAGCCATCTTTTCTACTAACGTAAGTGTTAAAAAACCTAATATTATTGATATTTCTCTTAATTATTAATTGTGTGTGCATACCATCATAAAATTAAGATGTTATTTTGACTACAAGGTGCGTATTGTGTCGGAAAAAGTGGAATTTGGGGGTCGGCCCAGTCTCTATTTCAATTAATCCCAAAGTTCTGTTATTTCATTTACGCGTTTCTCGTTTTACGCGGGCCTCCATGGGTTCAATTGACCGCGTAAATGCAGACTATACTGTACTGTATAGGTATCGCTCGCTATGCACATGTTCGAGATTAAAAAATTCGCTTGTACCAATTTCCTAAATTAAAACCTCTTTCATGTTACGAAAGCTTTCCCCGCTTATACAGATTTGGATCCTGGCAAAAATGCAAATCGTGTGCCTCCGGGAGTTAACTGGGACGGCCATTTTGGGTAGATGTGCAGACATATTTTCGTTAACTGGTCATAATTACTCCCACCCCCCCCCTTCCCTCCCTCCCTCCCTCTCACGTCTTTCACAAGCCCACATCTTTCCTTCTGCCATTTGTTGTGTGTGAAGTGATCTCTCTTTATAAGTGTGTATTTGTGCTGTCCTTTCGTTATTTCATTCGTCATGGCATCCAAGCATTCTGCTGAATCTTCGGCTACCCAAACTACACTGAAGAAATTACGAAAGGCTGTGATTCTTGAAACCAAGCTGGAAACATCATGAACGTGGTCATGGCCCTACAATGACCAGCAAACATCTTCGTCTGGTGACGGCAGTGATGAGATGGGCAGCCCTTCTCATCTTGCAGAGTAAAGGCACTTACTCATCCCATCCTAACTACCTTGTGGTGATCACTGACTGCCTTCCAATAAGGTAACGTACCAAAGTTATATAGCATTTTATAAGTGTTTTTAATGTGTGAGGTAGTATATTACAGCATTTTTGTACAGTACTATTTATCATCAATTACAGTGGGCTCTCGCCAATAACGTTTAATAGGTGCCTGAAAAACACCGTTATTAGCGAAAACGTTATTTGTGTGACATTAAAATACATGTAAAAAGGGTTTATTGGTGCCGCCGCCACAAGAATTTCACCCATTTTTCCCCTTGAAGCCCTACTAACACTTTTTGTTAGCTGAAATAAAAAGAATTGTTATTCAATCATCAAAATAAAGAGTTTGAGTAATATAACACTTAGCTTTGGGAAGTTTTTGAGGTGCTTGGTGCGATGGTTGTTCCATATCTGAGGGTCACTAACACTTGCACTGTCTTTCATTCTACAGGCTAACCATTTCACAAGAAAATACTCTGTTATCACTAACAACCTGTTTCTATCGTCTTTATCATTCATAGCTCGCCTCGCATTTCCATCACTACCGAAATATTTTTAGCCAGCACAATACTCTTCTTGGTCTCCTCTAAGTTCCTCTTAATATTTTGCACTGTAGACTCAGGACAGTTCAATTTCCTCACTTTAAAAGTTCCCTGTCATTCAGGTGGCAAATCACTCCCTCCACCACCTCCCCTAGCCCCCACAGGCAAAAATGCAGAAGCCATTATTGATCACCGACCCTAACGACCACTGGTTATAGTGGCGAAAATCTCACACGTGGGCGCAGCGCTGTATTCCACTGAGCCTGTGTGAGAGTGAGAGTGAGGCGGAGTGGACAACTACATCATCAGCATGGCGGCAAACAAACGCTATCATTGATGTGCTTGGACGCTTCCCGCGAAATTTCCATTATTCAAGAGAATCCAGACGTTATTATCGAAAATGGGTATCTATTGTAACTCGCCGTTATTGTCGAAAACGTTATTGTAGAAGTCGTTATTGGCGAGAGCCTACTGTAGGTAGGTGGTGTTGTTTGTGAACCGATTTCATGTTTTGGAGGGTATGATATTAAATTGTGGGCAGTCTTAGAACGAATATTGACCCATTTATCATGTTGGTCTTGGTTGTGTAGAAATTGCACCCGCTTTTGCAGTTTACTCATCTCGAAAAACATTAGAGAAGATTCAAATCAGTACTTCTTCACACAGAGGGTAGTAGACTTGTGGAACAGTCTATCAACACAAACCGTGAAAGCAAGAATAGATCTGGGTTTCAAAATAGCCCTTGACAAGTCCAAAAAAATACACCCAGACCTAGATTATTTTGTCAAATCAAACCAACTTTCGAATTTAACCTACAATAATATATTCAGAATTATATACTGTATTTACTCGATTCTCAAATCAATGTTTTCCTTACCAGCTGACAGACTGACTTATTAAGTCACCAAAAGAAAATAATCCCTTCCTGCAGAACCTGTCTCACCCTTATCAGTTACCCTGGATCACTTCTCCTTTATCTTGCCCTTATCAGTTTCCCTGGATTACTTCTCCCCTGTCTTGCCCTTATCAGTTACCCTGGATCACTTCTCCTTTATCTTGCCCTTATCAGTTACCCTGGATTACTTCTCCCCTGTCTTGCCCTTATCAGTTACCCTGGATCACTTCTCCTTTATCTTGCATCCTTATTATCAGTTACCCTGGATCACTTCTCCTTTGTCTTGCCCTTATCAGTTACCCTGGATCACTTCTCCTTTATCTTGCCCTTATCAGTTACCCTGATCTTTCCTTGCCCGACCTTATCACTTTCCTTATCAGTTGGATTACTTCTCCCCTGTCTTGCCCTTATCAGTTACCCTGGATCACTTCTCCCCTGTCTTGCCCTTATCGGTTACCCTGGATCACTTCTCCTTTATCTTGCCCTTATCAGCTACTCTGGATCACTTCTCCCCTGTCTTGCCCTTATCGGTTACCCTGGATCACTTCTCCTTTATCTTGCCCTTATCAGCTACTCTGGATCATTTCTCCCCTGTCTTGCCCGTATCAGTTACCCTGAATCACTCCTCTCTTGCCTTGCCCTTATCAGCTACTCTGGATTACTTCTCCCTTGCCTTTGCCTTATCAGTTACCCTGGATTACTCCTCCCCTGCCTTTCCCTTATCAGTTGTCCTAGACCACTCCTCACTGCAGGACTTGCCTCGCTTCCGGCCCACATAGTGTACCAGGGGCTACTCACTGAACACTCAACTTGCACAGCTACTCTCAAGTATAGTAAATCCAGTGCAGCCTATGATTCCTTCGTGGTCAACTCATGTTTGATCTTATAACTGGGCATAATTTTGTTGGTAGGAGTTCAACGAGGGCAGTTTGGATTAATTTAAGAGAGAGAACGTCATTACATAGTCTTGAGTCGATTAATTAACAGTAGATAAAGCCTCATTATATTGCTCAAGGTTATATTGATACTTATGTTTAACTAACTTTATAGATAAGAGAGAATACAGTATCATCTCTCAGTTGAGTGTGCATTATTGTTTTGAGTTTAGGTTAGTTTGATTAAATTAGTTTTTTTTTTTAAGGGGATTAGCCCACCCAGGCACAGGCCACCGACCCACATTGGGGCCTAGGGGGCGAAAATATAATAATAATAATATAGAACCACAAAGAAATACAAATTGAAAACAAAATCAAGTGAGAAACAATATATGTATGTTGTTTTGTCAATAGTAAGAGAAACAATTGAGACCCTGCAATTGTGTGAATGAGGCTGAAAGTCAGATCAGCAACCTGGGACTTGGTCACAATTTTCGTGATGCCATATGGCAGCAGGGTCTACCATAGACAACATATTATGCTTCCAATATCTTCCCAGGCGATAGTACCTCTCTGTTTGGTAGCTGCCTAATACCTACTACCTGTTAAATTATGACAGGTTGTTTGGTTAAAATAGATGATATTGTATTGAGTCAGGGCATTTAAATATATTTATTGATATTCTACACCAAGTTGACAAGTGGGCAGTAAATGTGAGCTGCGACACTAAGGTCGGTGGCAGGCTGGCAGCAACCTGTGCTCACTAAATTTAGGCGAGGATGTGATAAGCTAAGTGGAGCGGACAGGAAGTGCTATCTACTCTACACTGTAGAGTGTAAATAGTTACAAGATGATCCCACACCACACCGACTACCTCACGAGCCGGGCTGCCCCCAGTTCTCTACTTCTCTTATCAGTCATTGTTCTACTTTTTCTGTTACTATATTGGATTATCTGAAAGGCAAATTATAAAATATTGAATATGTATTGCATTCACTTCCGCTGCAGGCTCAGAAGTGTTCAGACAATCAAGGCTAAAATCCACTGGCTTTCCTGAACCCTAAACCACTGGAAATTACAATGCCATCTTTTAGATTAATGATGCCACCACTCGACATTATTTGACCAACACTGGCACATGTTTAGGTCAGTACATTTTCCCATACATGTCAACAGTGAACAACATACCTAATGCTGCTAATACAGTAATGCTTAACATAGTGCATACCCAGTACTTGCTAACAGTGCATGACAGTGAACCCATATATGTTCAGTACATGTCAATAGTGCGTAACAGGCTAACATTGTAATTGAGCCCGCACATGTCCAATATAATTATGTACAGTACTTGTCAACAGTGTGTAACAGAGAACAGATCGACCGTCCGACTGCTTAGTAATCTGGGGATTGGCGAAGAGGATAAAGTTATTAAAGTATT